AAGTTAGGATGGTGAAATAAGGAAATAGTCTACAAAGGTCACAAGTTTGACTTTGGTAATTTGAAGAAAACCTGTAAGGAGGTATGAAGTAAGAGTGAAGTTCTGTGACCTCACTAGAAACAGATGATAGATTCCCCCAAGAATCTACCAGTGTTGCTTCAGTTTTCAGTGTCTTTGACTTGAGACCTCTCCCTACTGTCAAAAGAAGATAAGGGAACAATGGTAAAAGAGAACTTCTGCTACTTATTGATTGCCATGGAGTTGATGCCAAGAGGCGGCTGTACAAGGCGGCTATGGTTGTTGAGCCCAGGTGTCGTCGAGAGTGGCTCCGTGAATAGAAAGGAGTTTTTGGAACAAATGTTTCCAAGAGACGGCACCAAGATTCTTTGGAAGTTGGGATATGACTTCCACAGAGATATGTTCAGGAATCGGCTCACTCTTGTTGTGCTTGATCATGCCATATCAGATGGCAGACTGTGATTGTGGCTTCAGTTGCCAAAATGAAATCAAAACCTCACGGGGGAATAGATTGAAGGCACCACATTTAAATACATCCGGATGACTATCAAGTGTGGTGGGGATTCTTTAAGGACTCTGACTTCAACAAGGCTGAAAGAGAAGAAAGATAGAAGAATTTACAAGGAGTAGTCTCTACTGTTGCTATCATTTGCCAGTGTATATTTGTGGCTTAGAATAGCAGTGTTTGGAATTAAAGTTTCTGAAATATAGAAATTACTGAGGTAAGATTGTTCTTTTTGGGTATTGTCATCCAACTTAGAAACTTGGTCCCAATCAATTTAAAGAATGCCTCCCCCCCCCCCCCCCCCCCCTTTTTTTTTCAAAAATGGTGCGGGTCCACATTTTGTAAGAATCTAGAAGCACCACTAAAGGGGTGTATGGACAGGAGGATTATGGGGCCCCATTAGGGTTGGGGAGTATCGTGTGATGACAGGAGGATTATGGGGCCCCGTTAGGGTTGGGGAGTATCAGGGGGGTGAGGGGCCAATTCTGGTGTTTTGGGGTTCGGGGTTAGGGTATTTGAGGAGGTGTTTGTGTGTTGAGGGTTGTAGGTTTGTGTGTTGATGGTTGTAGGTTTGTGTGTTGAGGGGTTTGTGTGTTGAGGGTTTTGTGTGTTGAGGGGTTTGTGTGTTGAGTGTGTAGGCAGAGTTAGAAATTGGCACTAGTCCTGTAGTCCTTGCCAAATTGCCCAATAGTTAAGGTATCATAAGGACCAGTAGAAATTTTCCATTTCTAAGGGTTTTGCTTTATGTTATCATTATAAGGACTAGTGGACTAAATATGTTAGTTTCTACCCCTGTTGTAGGTTTGTGTGTTGAGGGGTTTGAGTGTTGATGGTTGTAGGTTTGTGTGTTGAGGGTTGTGGGGTTTAATTTGTGTGTTGAGGGTTGTAGGTTTGTGTGCTGAGGGGTTTGTGTTGAGGGTTGTAGGTTTGTGTGTTGAGGGTTGTAGGTTTGTGTGTTGAGGGTTGTAGGTTTGTGTGTTGAGGGTTGTAGGTTTGTGTGTTGAGGGTTGAGGGGTTTGTGTGTTGAGGGTTGTAGGTTTGTGTGTTGATGGTTGTAGGTTTGTGTGTTGAGGGTTGTAGGTTTGTGTGTTGAGGGTTGTAGGTTTGTGTGTTGAGGGGTTTGTGTGTTGAGGGTTGTAGGTTTGTGTGTTGAGGGTTGTAGGTTTGTGTGTTGATGGTTGTAGGTTTGTGTGTTGATGGTTGTAGGTTTGTGTGTTGAGGGTTGTAGGTTTGTGTGTTGAGGGTTGTAGGTTTGTGTGTTGAGGGTTGTAGGTTTGTGTGTTGAGGGTTGTAGGTTTGTGTGTTGAGGGTTGTAGGTTTGTGTGTTGAGGGTTGTAGGTTTGTGTGTTGAGGGTTGTAGGTTTGTGTGTTGAGGGTTGAGGGGTTTGTGTGTTGAGGGTTGTAGGTTTGTGTGTTGAGGGTTGAGGGGTTTGTGTGTTGAGGGTTGTAGGTTTGTGTGTTGAGGGTTGTAGGTTTGTGTGTTGAGGGCTGAGGGGTTTGTGTGTTGAGGGTTGTAGGTTTGTGTGTTGAGGGTTGTAGGTTTGTGTGTTGAGGGTTGAGGGGTTTGTGTGTTGAGGGTTGTAGGTTTGTGTGTTGAGGGTTGTAGGTTTGTGTGTTGAGGGTTGTAGGTTTGTGTGTTGAGGGTTGTAGGTTTGTGTGTTGATGGTTGTAGGTTTGTGTGTTGAGGGTTGTAGGTTTGTGTGTTGAGGGTTGAGGGGTTTGTGTGTTGAGGGTTGTAGGTTTGTGTGTTGAGGGTTGAGGGGTTTGTGTGTTGAGGGTTGTAGGTTTGTGTGTTGAGGGTTGTAGGTTTGTGTGTTGAGGGTTGTAGGTTTGTGTGTTGAGGGTTGTAGGTTTGTGTGTTGAGGGGTTTTTGTGTTGAGGGTTGTAGGTTTGTGTGTTGAGGGGTTTTTGTGTTGAGGGTTGTAGGTTTGTGTGTTGAGGGTTGTAGGTTTGTGTGTTGAGGGTTGAGGGGTTTGTGTGTTGAGGGTTGTAGGTTTGTGTGTTGAGGGTTGTAGGTTTGTGTGTTGAGGGTTGAGGGGTTTGTGTGTTGAGGGTTGTAGGTTTGTGTGTTGAGGGTTGTAGGTTTGTGTGTTGAGGGGTTTGTGTGTTGAGGGTTGTAGGTTTGTGTGTTGAGGGTTGAGGGGTTTGTGTGTTGAGGGTTGTAGGTTTGTGTGTTGAGGGTTGTAGGTTTGTGTGTTGAGGGGTTTGTGTGTTGAGGGTTGTAGGTTTGTGTGTTTGAGGGGTTTGTGTGTTTGTGTGTCGAGGGCGAAGGTTGTTTCAACAGTTGCTTAAGCTGACACTCCTGAGTTTCAAGGAGGAGGAGCGTGTATTGATCTTCTGCTAAGTAGGCCATTTCTACTGGGATGGGGGAAGGTGATCTGTCAATAAAGACTGGTAATGAGGAGTGTTCCTGGGATTAGTCATAGATCACAATCATAAAAATCATTAAAAAAATAACTGCTATCAATATGAATGGCATTTAAAACATAATTCTTCCAAGATACAATCAAGTAGCAATGTGTTTTTTCAAACTCTACAGTGTTCGTGCTCCATTGGGTCATTCATATGGCGGCATTGGACCTGATTTAATGTTGCCAAATTTGTTCAATGGGTCCAGTGAGTAAGTAGGATTATAAGCATAGTTTCGCAAATACTGGTATGAGACTAGGCCTGGAAATATGAATTTTGGAAAGACACCATATATGTATATATGTACAGGATTAGTTCTTGTGATACTTTGGTCGAACAAGTGAACACACTTACTGATCTAGGGGCGGACGGGTAGCCTAGTGGTTAAAGCGTTCGCTCGTCACGCCGAAAACCCAGGTTCGATTCCCGACATGGGTACAATGTGTGAAGCCCCTTTCTGGTGTCCCCCGCCATGATATTGCTGGAATATTGCTAAAAGCAGCTTTAAACCATACTCACTCACTACTACTCACTTACTGATCTGCAGAGTTGTGGCCCCTGGGCGTGCCAGAAACCCCTTATTGTGGGTTGAATCCCAGTTTCACCCTGATTATTTCTTTAGGTTTGTCAGCACCATACACATAGTCGTGGGCTCCACCAAAGTGGTAACTATCTAAGACATGGATCACCTTTGCTTTCTTCCCACATACAACTGACATACCGTTCAAAGTGGTTATCAGCCAACTCTCTCAAGACTATGTCTGTCGGGGCGGTCGGGTAGCCTAGTGGTTAAAGCGTTCTCTTGTCACACCGAAGGCCCGTGTTTGATTCTTCACATGTGTGAAGCCCATTTCTGGTGTCCCCCGCCGTGATATTACTGGAATGTTGCTAAAAGTATTGTAAAACCATACTCGATCGCTAGCTATTTCTGCCAGGTCCAAGGGAGAGAACTTTGCATATCACTCTTCACGATTGGCACATGCTTGTGGGTTTCAATGAAGTAGAGCTTCATGTCTCGTTGGGCTCTCCTCCCACATCCAGCTGACATGCCATGATATGCTAAATACAATTCAAGGAGATGTTAAATCTGACTCAAAGTCGAGCCTATTTCTTGTGTCCTGTGCAATGATATTGCTGTAATATTGCTCACTCACTCACTCAACCACTCAACCACTCACTCAACCACTCACTCAACCACTCACTCAAAACCAACCGACCCACCCACCCCTTGGAAGGTTTTGTTTCAGACATTTTCCAGGTTTTATGTACAGAAAGAACTGCTTTTACGCCATCTTTACATAATGTTATTTGTATTGCCAGAAACTACAATGATAGGTGACAAAGTGTAACATTGTTGAACATACATTGGGATAAATATGTGAACTATTGTCCTATATTTATTGCAGTGTATATATAATATGATACATCAATACATGTATATACCAGCAACACATGTTCAAAATAAACAGACCCATGAAGTTCCGGTTTAAGAATAGGTCTTCAGCATCCCGTACTTGCTGCAAGAGGCAACTATGCTTGAGGCCACTAACGGGGTCAGGTGGTCAAGCTTGCTGACTTGGTTCATTCATTTCATCAAATCCCAGTTGCATAGATCAATGCTCACTGGATTGTCTGGTCTAGACCTGATTATTATTCCCCCGACAAAATCTGTGTCATATGGAGGGGTGCAGTCAAAAGAAAAAAAATGTTTTTATTCATTTTTCCATTTTCTAATGAATTTTTCAAACCCTAACCCTATCCTAGCTATTTAATTTGTAACTACTGACACACTAGGCGGGTCGGGGGTATTAGTGAGCCATGCTCACTTTTGCACTTGTTTACAGACTGTCATCATATATCTGGAATATTGCTGAGTGTGGTGTTAAACAACAAACAATTAATCATGAAAGTCGAGGGTTCTGTGTCATAACCCCAATTTAAGAGATTAAGGGGCCTCTAGATTCAAATGCAATACTCACCCTTAGATCCCCAACTTTGGTTGTAGTGTAATTTATTGAGAGCAGGGTGTTCGTTATAGTAAGTTATCATCATTGTACTCTTGTTCCAGGTGACCTTTTACCAGCTGACGGTGTTCTGATTCAAAGTAATGATTTAAAAATTGATGAAAGCTCGCTGACGGGAGAATCAGATCATGTCAAGAAGGGAGACAATGCAGACCCTATGTTACTCTCAGGTTAGTAACGTTTAACAGCTGCCATCACTTACACTGACACATGCAGGTTCGAACATCTTTAGGGCTAAACCCTGTGGTGATCACGAGTTAGAAGAGGTCCCCAGGTAGGAGAGAAACCTATAGGGGCTCGGGGGCGGTCGGGTAGCCAAGTGGTTAAAGTGTTCGCTCGTCACGCTGAAGACCTGGGTTCGAATCCCGACATCGGTACAATGTGTGAAGCCCTTTTCTGGTGTCCACCCTGCCCTGATATTGCTGAAATATTGCTAAAAGCGGCGTAAAACCAAACTCACTCACTCAGTATAGGGGCTCGGGCTAGGACGAGTTAACTACCCAGGTACCCCCTATTACCCGCCCCTACCTACTGTAGGTCTCAAGAGCTGGGTTCAAAATGTCTGCTTGGGAAATGTTTACTTGACCCGGGCTAAAAGTATTCAGATACACATATAAGATGAGCTGGTCATGCACTGAAGTTGACTGAAGCTTTATCTTTATTCAAACATTTAAGAGTCAGAAAGAAATACCAACATTTGTGACTTGTTGTGTAACCATTCAGTTACAGAGAACTTTTGTCATTAAACAATATATCACATTGCCCACCATGGGTCCGGGTAGTCCTGTGGGTACCCAGGTCCTACTCAGTACCCACACGACTCGAGTATCCAGCCCTGAAGTATTGTCGTAAAGGATGTTAAAATTAAGCTTTCATAAGAGTTGTTAAGCTCACTCATTCACTCACTTTTGCAGGTAGGGTGGTGGGGTAGCCTAGTGGTTAAAGTGTTCGCTCAATGCTCTGAAGATCCGGGTTCAATTCCCCACTTGGGTACAATGTGTGAGGCCCATTTCTGGTGTTCCCCGTCGTGATATTGCTGGAATATTGCTAAGAGCGGCGTAAAACGATGCTCACTGTTGCAGATGGGGCAGTCGGGTAGCCTAGTGGCTAAAGTGTTTGCTTTTCTCACTGAAGATCCGGGTTCGATTCACCACATGTGTACAATGTGTGAAGCCCATTTCTGGTGTCCCCCGCCGTGATGTTGCTGGAATATTGCTAAGAGCGGCGTAAAACGATACTGTTGCAGATGGGGTAGTCTAGTGGTTTAAAGGGCAAGTTCACACGGAAATTAACCTATTTTTCTTGTACTTTTTCCACTTTAAAAGTGTTAACCTAGAAGTGTCATAGACAAAAATATAAAAATATCACAATTAATTAACATATTTCTCGCATTAAAACGATTTATATCTTTCACATTTACCAAGTGTTCTATTTCCACAACAAAAACACCATGGCTTATGCCCCTTGCAATATGACGTCATTGGTGCCAATTGATAAACATTATGACGTCATCATGCTTTGTTAGAGCCGCTTCACGTGGTGTAGGTCTAGGTGTGTGATTCTAGCGTCTCAGATGCCAGCCAGAATTGTGTTATACTGAGTCACCACTGCGCCGGAGTGTGTCGTAGGCCATGTTGTTTTACCGCAAACTGGTACTTGATATCTTTTGCGTTGAGAATAGACAGGGACCCAGTTGAATTGGCACCAATTACGTCATAATCTAAGGGGGATAACTCAGGCCTGTTTAGCTCGAAAAACGAAGGCCTCATAACGGCATATCATTTTAACACTATTGTGAGCTTCCTACTTTCACTGTGAAAAAAATGAGTGTATATTTTCAAACACAGATACTAATTAATTCTAAAACTGCGTTTTGTTTAGAAAAAGAAAGAAAGTGATTTTTGCGTGTACACTTCCCCTTTAAGTGTTCTGTTCTGCCGTGATATTGCTGGAATATTGCTAAGAGCGGAATAAAACGATACTGTTGCAGATGGGGTAGTCTAGTGGTTTAAGTGTTCTGTTCTGCCGTGATGTTGCTGGAATATTGCGAGGAGCGGCGTAAAACGATCCTCACCCCGTGTTGCAGGTACTCATGTCATGGAGGGGAGTGGAAAGATGCTGGTCACGGCAGTGGGCGTCAACTCTCAGACAGGCATCATCTTCGCTCTTCTCGGGGCATCACAGGAGGAACAGGAGAAGGCGAAGAAGAAGAAAAAGAAGGGGGATGAAGAAGAGGAACCAGGTAAAAACTCGTTAACATTTGAGCGACCGGTGAGAGACAACACCTGGTCGTTTCTTAGCGTTGTTGGTCAGTGGTCATGTAAAACTTTCATTTTGTAAGCAATCATTTCAATGTAAATATCATGATCTTTTGAGGATTGATCATGATTGTTATCATCACCTCTGTGGCTTATGGTAATTCAAAATAGGAAGGCTTGAAATTTATGCAGATTGGAAGAGATCGATGAATAGTCGTACACATGGGCCCCAATGTGAACGCAGACCAAAATGAATTATTCTTCTGGGAGAAAGCAAAATTCTGAAATAATGGATTTGAAATGTCAGAAGTTGACATGGGTTCATCTGTTATGTCTTCCATGACCACTGTGCTGCTTGTTCCGTTGTCGAAACCACATTTCTTCTTCATAGAATATATAATTTTCCGTAGCTGATAGAATTTGAATTTCTCTGAACGTTTAGGATAGGTGATGAAGGTTGTCATGTGTACTTTATGCATGGATAATTGACAGTAGACCTGAGGCAAAGATATGTGGCACTCTTCGAGGTCTTAGTACACGATTCGTTCAAACGCAACTCGAATGATTCAAATTTTTATCATGCTTGCAGTTTAATTACTTAAATGTACATCCTAAAAAAAATATTTTTTTTAATCCTAAGACTTGGATGTTGATCTTTTTTTAAATGTTTTCTTAAATGTTTCATTGCTTTTTCAAAGTGTTTTAATATCTCTGCCTCCAGCCCAATTTGTTGATGCGTGTGTTCTAAACTAAGAATGAGATATCTTTATTGGTGCATTTTGTTTGAAATCTCCTGATGCATGTTGCCTGACCTCCGACTGAGTGGTATTTTCTCATCACCTTGTCCGTAGTCGAACGTATTGCTCTGGAGACACACGCAATAGATCAGTCAGACATATTGAAATCTGGGGATCAAATATCGTGGAAATCTTGACACATGTATCCATCAAGTATGGCCTGGGTTGTTAGCGTCTTTGCTTCTAGTTCAGTCTGTGCCCATAGCTTTCAAGTGTACTTGTCCAGACTTGGCCTTAGCATCAGATTGTTGATTTTAATGTTTAAGCATTATTAAGTCAAGTGTTGAAAATTAAGTGTGTTCAATTATTTTTTTTAATTATTTTAAATTTTATTTAAAAAATATTTTTTTACTGATTTTGGCCATTTCCATGGTTACATGTTGTTAGAATTCATAGCTTTCTTCCATTTTAAATGTTCTTTTGGTAGTTTTACATTCCATTCTTAATATGCTTTACAAATAGAATTATGTCCGTAAGTGAGGAATTGTCCACAAATCTTATAAACACTTTACGTAATATTTTTTAAAGGTAGGGCATCAGTCTTTTAACTAGAAAGATATAATTAAGTGGGCTTTAGTTTTGATATTTAAAACTTATGCTGGGTATGTGTGTCAGTTTCCAACTTGTCGTCTTTGTCTGTTTCATTGTAGAATGATCATCTACGTTACTAATATGGATGAAGTTAATAAGATGATGTTGCCAAGGATTGCCAGATCCTATGTTGTGAAGCTTATCATTCAACTCTGTCATGCATTCTGTCGGTGATAAGTGCGGTACACGCCTTGGGACAGTGGTTGCACCTGGTGTAGGGCTGCAGCAATTCGCTCATCATGGTAGAATATCCCCAGGTTGCCCGTAGTAAATCAGCTATATTTTGTCCTCTATTGCTTGAGTAATCAAAACTGCATACGGTCATACAGACACTGTAGCCAGACTGTGACATCATACAGACACTGTAGCCAGACTGTGACATCATACAGACTGTGACATCATACAGGCACTGTAGCCAGACTGTGACATCATACAGACTGTGACATCATACAGACACTGTAGCCAGACTGTGACATCATAAAGGCACTGTAGCCAGACTGTGACATCATACAGACTGTGACATCATACAGACACTGTAGCCAGACTGTGACATCATACAGGCACTGTAGCCAGACTGTGACATCATACAGACTGTGACATCATACAGGCACTGTAGCCAGACTGTGACTTCATACAGGCACTGTAACCAGACTGTGACATCATACAGGCACTGTAGCCAGACTGTGACATCATACAGGCACTGTAGCCAGACTGTGACATCATACAGACTGTGACATCATACAGACACTGTAGCCAGACTGTAAGACTGTTTCAGAGCAGTTGTAGCAGCCCTACAAGTAGTGGCTCTTTCTCAAGCAGCATTTTGTAATAATTTTTGTCTCCTTTTACAAGCAATTGTCCAAAATGTATAATCGTCACGAAACACTGTTGTTGTTTTTTATAAGATTGATATTTTGATAAAATATGAAGTAAGTCAAAATGCATTTTCTTGGCTCGCCTGTGATATACGTGTATTCATCATTTTCACAGTAACGATAGCAACGGGGACACATACAAGTGACAATATGTTTTTGCTGTGTTTTCAGCGGTTGAATTCTCCGGTGACTATTTGTACTGTTTCAACCCTTTTCATCTATCGTATAGACACCACCACCCCCCTGCTCATCATGTCACACTAGAGGTCCAGATGACTCAGGCACTCCAACCTGCTTTTCAGAGTTGTGTCCCTTTGCTACCTGGATCCTCCGGGTTCAAATCCCATATCCCAATCATTCTCATGGGTTTCACCAAAGTGGTACCCGTCTACGACCTGCTACACTTTGGGATTCCTTAACATTAAGCTGATACGCCGTTAAGTAACTGAAATAGTTTCAAGCGGTGTAAACTCGCCTCTCCTGACATCACATCCATTATTGCTCACACCTCACTGTTTCTATATGACGAATTTCTCTTACTCTGCACACACACTAGACGTGAAGCTCGTAGCTGTTACAGGTAAAGTACTCGCAATAAACGTTTGGTATTTTCAGTTGTAGTGGCTCAATGAAGTGCCTTCTCTGTCACCCACCCGATCTATTTATAGTACCTGTCTTGTACCTCTGCCGTCTGTGTAGATGTGGTCTGTTCTTATTATTTTTCTAAAAGTAATTCATTGACCTAACACATCATCTGAGTGCATCATTTCTTGGGGGAAAACAAATGTAAACATTAATACATTCGGCAGATATATATTGAGTTAAATTGTTCAAATTGACTTCAATTTAGGTAATAACGACTAGCCTGTCACTGGTCTGGTTCATATTTATACAGTAAAGGTTACAGCCATATCATATGATTATGACATGCGTTATTTTCTTCTAGCCCGACACTTGGCTTTTTCTTTTTTTGTCGGGATGGATTTAGTTATGAATTACTCTTATTAGCCAAGAGATTAAGATTACCTGAAAGTTCACAGCACCAAGAACGAGCCTTAGGAATAGAACATGTTGAAAATTTAATCCCCGGCCATGTCATATTAAAAGACGTTCAAAATGGTGCTTGTTGTCTCCTGGCACTCGGCATCTACGGGATAAAACAAACAAACAAACACAATTTGGAGACTGCCTTTGTGGTCTGGTGCATAAACCCCTTTTCAGGACCATTAAACTACAACCTATATGGTCTAATTGTCGAGCATCCGCCTGGAGAGCGGAAGGTCTGGGGTTCGATCCCCAGCCGTGTCATACCAAAAGACGTTAAAAGATTGTACTTGTTGTTACCCTGTCTGGCGCTCGGCATTAAGGGGCTAAAACAAGGACTGGTCGGCTCAGTCAGTATACTGTGTCTGAGTGGGGTATTCATGTTAAACTGCGGCATGGTATCTCAGTGAGCTAGCACTATAAATCGGCATCAGCCCGGACAAGTACAAGCAGCCACACACACACGTACAACCACATGAACACTTCTTAAGATATACAACAATTTCTTAACTTGATCTTCAGAATAAAAGTGGTTAAAGTTTCAGTCAGTGTAATGTCTTTGAAATAATTTCATATAGAGGACAGTGTGATGCTATAACTGACCTGTGTTAATCTTAACTCATACAGAGTGATGCAGAAAAGTTGCCATGTATTAAGAAGATTTTCATATAAGACAAAACAAAGCTACAGCAACATGCACAAACGTCCGCCATTACCGGGCGGTGTGGTAGCCTAGTGGTTAAAGTGTTTGCTTGTCACGCTGAAGACCCGGGTTCGATTCCCGACATGGGTACAATGCGTGAAGCCCATTTCTGGTGTCCCCCGCCGTGATATTGCTGGAATATTGCTAAAAAAACGGCGTAAAACAATACTCACTCATCAGCCATTACACCAGCGTTACTACAATACAGTCATCAGTGTAATCTTTCACGCAATGAACTGGGAGGTCGGGTAGCCTAGTGGTTAAAGTGTTTGCTTGTCACGCTGAAGACCCGGGTTCGATTCCCGAAATGGGTACAATGTGTGAAGCCCATTTCTGGTGTGCCCCGCCGTGATATTGCTGGAATATTGCTAAAAGCGGCGTAAAACCATACTCACTCACTCACTCACTCACTCACTCACACAATGAACTTACGTATATCACTGAAGTCCCAAGAGCAGAGTCGGTGATCTGTGTCACTTTAGGAGATTCAGTCCTATAGGTCAGCTAATTCAGGAGATTCTACAACGTGAATCAAGCCAAATAAAGGCAAGCATGTGAATCGTCAGGAAAGAGGGTGAAATACCATATCTGCTCATCAGGAAGGAACTACTTTATCAGACCGAATTACATTTTTACAAATTCTGCGAAGTTATCTCGTGTCGTTTTCCCGCACACAAAAAATCCAAATGATTAAACATTTCAGGGGTGGTATCATGTTTTGTCGAGTTGGGTATTTTGGACCGGTTATTGCTGTGCCTTCTTGCCCTTTTAACCTGTGGAGCATGTATGGTATTAACTAACTTGGCTGTGTGTATAGCCATGTGCTTGCTACTAATTTTCACTGATATCGTATGTGCTAACTCTCTAACTTTCAGGACCCCGATCAAACAATCTGGGACAGACGGAACCATGTAAGTCTGACAACTCACTCGCTCACTCGCGTACTTCTGTCATTCACTCCACTCATTCTGTCTGTTTGTCTGTCTGTCTGTCTGTCTGTGTACCCACTATTTTGTCATCCATTAAAGAATGTTGATTTTGTGTTGTGGTGTTGTTACAGTTGCCTCCCCTGGATGCATCAGGAACTTGTGTTTGTTGCAGATATTCTTCTATAGAATTTTCCTGCAACATGGAAGAAATATAACATTAACTTTGTAGCAACAGAATTTTTGAATTGTTTATTTGTTGTAATTGATTTTACATATTCTTTTCCTTGTCCATGGACTTATATGTGCAATCGCAGCATTCATTTCTTGATTTCATAACAATTCAACAGTACTTTATCTTGTTTTAATGAATTATACAGTTCAGATATCTTACTAAAGTTGATGCCATTTTTCTTATAATAAATTCAATCGGACTTCATAATGAAAACTGAACCTAGTATTTGAAAATATATTCATCCAATTTTCACATTTGGACATTATCCAAACAGGGAACTATTTCTTTCATAGTTCTCCGATGCATCGATCACCATTTATGTTTTTGCCGATATTACCCCAAATTATGTGCAATGCCAAATTTTACTTTCCCATTGTTGTTCCAACTCATGCGTACCTTGATTTTAGCGATTGTTACCGAACGGTATACCTGCATGAGATCGGTGGAAATTGCTGGTTTGCATGCTATAGTTGCCTTCTCCTTTGTTGTACTGTTATATTCTTATCGAAAACATTTATCCACAGCTGACAGGTTTGTGATTTGTTATTGACAATTTTTGGTTTCGGAATATTTTTTGGGTTTCGTTTAATTAGATCATGAAATGACTGTTACATATATGATTAATTAAGACATGTCAGGTTTTGTGTTTTTTGGTGTGTTTTTTACAATAAAAAATGTAATATGTAACTTGAGGGTGATCGATTCCGCATACAAAAGTTTGATATGAGAAAATGATGTTCTTTTTGTCGAAGCTGAAAAGAATGGTTCACAGGTATTTTTGTTAATTTGTGTTTTCAACGAAAACTGCTAAAAAATGGGTTTCATGTTTTCATTTTGATCCTAAAGTAGAAATGAAATTCAGCTATGTTGAATGTTTTGACAGCAGTGCCTAAAAAGTGTTCTAAATGGTTTCGGTTGTCCTTTGGTGATTTTGATTTGTTGAAATGGCATTTTAACCAGGTAACCATTAAAATGATTTCTTTGATTGTATCATTCTTTTGTATGCCAGCTTGGTGACAGGATGTACTAACCATGACCGTTTCAGGAATTTGAGAAGAATTCTGTTTCAAGCAGATTATTAGTTTCATGGATACACTTGATAGGATTTATGATGTGAAAAAAAGCATCCAGTGATGTTTTTTTTGGAAACAAAATTATCATTAGTAAGTATTTTCAAGTAGGTGTGTTATTTTTCTAGTCATTGATTAAATTCACAGAACCTGTGTCACAGCTCCCTACAGTGAAACGCTGTCAGGCACAGCGTGGAGTTGGATCACAATAGAACATTTAAACACATTTAAGTCCACTAAGCATGTGATTGTGCAGAACATTCAGAGCAAGAAGCATGATGTACCCTTCATCTATGATTGTGATAAGCATGGTAGCATTGTATGTTTTCTGTTTTAGGAACATGACATCAAGCACTTGAGTTTTTCATTTTGAAATGCGTGTACAAGCACTTAGACTGTACCTCACTGAACAAACTGTTTGTAACGTAGGCCAAAAGTTGCACATTTTGATTTCAGCTGAGTTACCTGCAATGGAATTCTTCTTAAATACTGATTTATAGATTGTGCAGTGTTAGCGTTTTGGTTTGAATGTTAATTTAATTTCTTTTATTTTCCTAGTGCTCTCTAATGAGGCAGATGCAAAAGTGGGTACGTTGATGAGCTGTGTTGTTCTTCTGTACGCGTGGCTGGAGCTGCGAGCAGCAGAGTGCCGCCGCCTCCGTTTGTGTGAAGCATAGCGCTAACTCGGTCTGGTCACACAACTATGGAGATACTTATAGCTCACATTCTCGTAGACCCCGCATTGTCCTCAAGTCGGAAGACGTCCACATACACACATATGGAAACCTTTGAAGGATACTTTTACGAATCAAATAACCTCCACGGTTTCATGATTTATCATTTTCAACTAATTTATCTCATCACCTTAAAAATTAATCGAAAATAGACCTTTTGGTTTGATGAAGTTCAGGCTAATTTTTTCGAACTTTCAAAAATTGAATTCCAGTTGATAAAGTCCCATGTATGAATATCAATCGATGGGGTGTTTAATATGTGTCAATATTTGGGGGGTAAATATTTGTTTCTGTTAGACAATAGGACCCTGAAGTATTTGTTTTGTTGAGGCTGATGGAGATATTTCAAGGAACCCTGGCTGTATGCTTCTGCCATGGTTCTTGAGGTGTGACCAGACCTCATCTTGTTCTGTCTCTTGCTGAAAACTCTTTTAACTTTTAACGCAATTTCTCAACTCTCTCACAATGGTTTTACAGTAAAGGCCACCACAGTCTAAATCTGTTCTATCACTTAAAACTATCTGGCTTAACATTTCTAGCACTAACCTTTCAGCACAATCGCTTGTCCTCCTCAACAAAAAGGACCAATCTTTGATGATGTCTGAGCGCAACGAGCTTAGGAGTAGCATAGAATGAAGAAAAACTAAGGCTACCGTCTAGCTTGATTAAAGTGCCTCTTTTGTTCTGTAGATTATATATCCTGCCTTCTCACTGTCTTGCCTTTTGCTTCCAAGTCTCAGAAGAAAGACTGCCAATAGCCATTTTTGTAATATTGGGCTTTTGAAACTCATTTGATATATACGAGTGGACGTTATCATATCATGGAATATTGTAAAACTTGGAACCTTATCGGTAAAAATAGTTTGATGAAGTTTCATCCTGAAGATATTGGCAGTTCTTCTCTTTGAGATGTTCCTGTACCTGGCACTCTCTGTAGTGTTCACGTGTATGATTATGTACCTTCTCTGCTAGTCATATGTTGTTTTAAAACATGTCCGTAAGAAATTAATTCTTAGAATGAATATGGGTAAGTAAATACTGTTTGAAGTGAACCATTTTCTGTTTACATATAAATTGAATGAACATGCTGTTGGTGTCTGAATTTTTAAGTGTTTTTTTTTAATATGTGTTTGGGAAAAGTTTTGAGTTACATTGAGGATGTCACATGCATGGATATTTGAATGATATTTGAACGAAAGATTCACAATACAGCCTGCTTTGACTGCAACAGATGTCTTTCAAGTCCCTGTATGAACACTCAGATGTACTGCTTTTCTATTGTGACAGTATACATAAGGCGTTCAAAATCTCATTTCCCACAATTTGGAGGCGACTAAGCTTGTTCTAAAAGGCGACTAACGGGATCAGGTGGTCAGACTCGCTGACCTGGTTGATGCATGTCATCGTATCCCAATTGCGTGGATCGATGCTCATGATGTCAATCACTGGATTGTCGGTCCCAGATTCGATTACTGACAGACCGCCGTCATATAGCTGGAATATTGCTGAGTGCGGCGTTAAACAACAAACAAACAATCACAATTTGGAGACTGTCTTTGTGGTCTGGTGCATAAACCCCTTTCAACACCATTCAAACTACAACCTATGTAACTCCTACCAGCAGTTAGAACAGGTTCCAAGATAGGGTTTCAAAAAACAATATGTATACCATATTCAAAATAATAAGCACCTAGGGCGCTCTCAAAATTACAAATAGGGGGCTCTTATTAGAATATAATAGAGTTTGAAAGATCGTAAATTTTGTGGTTTATGCTCACAGCCTGAAATGATACAAAAGAAAAGTCTGTGCGTATCATACACGACAGAATTTAATTGCCCATCATTAAGGGTGCATATAACACACGAGTGCGTATTATACACGAATAAATAAATCTTGTGTACATTGATCAATCGGAAGGGGTGCTAATTGGAATTGTTCACTAGTTCACTAGCAAATATCGCTGGGGCGCTTTTTTTTACTGTGTCTTTCAAACTCAATTAACAAACTGTGCGACATCTGTTCCCTAAACCCTGAACATACCAAGAGTCCAGTTTCAAGAGGCTTTATTAACATGGGAATCAAACAAAGCACACCTTTTTCAATTTCACTAACAGCATGTTGTTCAATATTGGTTACTGAATGTAGGATATAGGCCACAGGGCCAGGCTAGGAGCATTCTCTGTTTTACTGACTCTGCTCTCTCAAACATGCCCGTCTGTCTGGGCACCCTCATCTGCACAGGGCCTACTTCTGTGGCTGTTATTACTGCGATTGTGTTCTTTTTCAAGTCACGTGGTTTGTATTCCTACTGACATTGATACTATTTTCCTCAAGTTAACGTAGCCTGTATGGATCTCCTAGTGCATGGGTATCCAGACCTTAGTGTCAGCAAGTAATTGTGTAAACCGCATGACATACTTCCATGTGAATATGTTTTTGTGAGTATGAATATTGTGTATAAATTTAAGTTAGCTTTCTTTCTTTATGTCCTTCTTATGTCGTAATGAATATTATCGGGCTTATTGTGGGAAGTTTCATGAAGTCAATACGGTTTTTTCCTGTAGAATTGTTGGTTCTGATTTCAAGTACGGCTGTTGACTTTTCAGATATTCAGATGAACACCACCAATGCACCTACTGGAAACTCCCACAACACTGTCAACAAGCATGTGCCCAACAAGGCTCCGTTGCCACCCGTGGATGAGAAGGTTCCCGAGGAGGTCGTCAAAGAGGAGAAGAAGAAAGTTTCACGCAAAGAAAAGTCGGTGTTACAGAGCAAACTCACACGTCTAGCCATTCAAATAGGATATGCAGGTTTGAAATTGTCTTAATGTTTGCCCTGTCATGGTTAGAAATTAGTATTTCACTAGCCTGCAAAAGTTTGTTGTCCATATTTACTGTTGGTGAACAATCATGTTTGTTGCCACTGCCTAGACAGTCAGTTTCTGTTTGTTGAACGCGGTCTAGTAGTAGAGGGTCTGCCCGGAGAGCGGAAGGTACGGGGTTCGACCCCGGCCGCGTCATACCAAAAGACGTTAAAAGATGGTTCTTGTTGTTACCCTGTCTGGCACTCGTCATTAAGGGGCTAAAACAAGGACTGGTCGGCTCGGAGTCAGTATACTGTGTCTGAGTGGGGTATTCATGTTAAACTGCGGCATGGTATCTCAGTAGGCTAGCACTATAAATCGGCATCAGTCCGGACTAGTACAAGCAGCTACACAAACACACACACACGTGCATGCACGTCGCTATATAAGTGCAATAATCTTGGACGCGATGTTAAACCCAAGTTCACCTCACCTGTTTGTTGAAACAGTGCTTAGAGTCAGTGTAATGGCGGCTCCCAGTCAAGATAATTTGATCGATGATCAAGATCTATATTGTAATACAAGGGTCTTACCCTGTGAAGTGCATCTAATCAGGTGTGCATCTTGATTAAAAACATGAATAGATTTTGAAAATATCTGTCGACGCCCAGTTGACGCTACACATCTTTAGCAAATCCTGCGGTCTACTGAAATCTGCACGCTGGAATGTCGATTTCATTATGCGGTTGATTGGACAATGCATAGACTTGTTAGTCCAGCCAAAATATTACTCAATAATTGCAGCCTAGTTCGGCAAGAGTGGAAACTGGACTTTTACAGTCAGTTAACTCCTTTGCCTCGGGAAGATGCAGCCAAACTGACACTTTGTATATTTCAGGTACATTCATCGCCGTGCTGACCGTTCTCATCCTGATCCTTAAGTTTTGTATCCAAGAGTTTATCATCGATGAAAGGGAATGGACGTCTACACGGACCGGACGTTATTTGGAACTGTTTGTCAACTACTTCATTATCGGTGTCACCGTGCTCGTAGTTGCTGTACCAGAGGGGCTTCCACTTGCTGTTACGCTTGCTCTTGCTTACTCTGTTAAGGTAAACATATGAAGCTTATGTTTGATTTGTTTATTGTCTTTATACTGTGTCGGGGTGGTCGGGTAGCCTAGTGGTTGAAGCGTTCGCTCGTCACGCCGATGACCCGGGTTGGATTCCTGACATGGGTACAATGTGTGAAGCCCATTTCTGGTGTCCCCCGCCGTGATATTCCTGTAATATTTCTAAAATCGGGTTAAAACCTCACTCACTCACTCACTCACTCACTCACTCACTCACTCACTCACTCACTCACTCACTCACTCACTCACTCACTCACTCACTCACTCACTCACTCACTCACTCACTCACTCACTCACTCACTCACTCACTCACTCACTCACTCACTCACTCACTCACTCACTCACCCCAAAACACTGGTAGTCATTAAACAAATAGTAATTTATTTTAACTCATGTATCGTCATGAAAACTCAAAATGCATCGATGTATTGTTTCACCCCTGTAGATTACCCAACTCTAGCCATTTGGATCTAGAGCCTGTCCCATGTCATGTTTACTGTTGTGTAATGCTGGTTGGTTGTCTTGCAGAAAATGATGCACGACAACAACTTGGTGCGTCACTTGGATGCGTGCGAGACGATGGGTAACGCTACAGCCATCTGCTCAGACAAGACAGGAACGCTTACAACAAACAGAATGACAGTCGTTCAGAGCTTCCTTGGTGGTGCGTATATTTCAGTGATGATCATATTTAATTGATTTTGAAGACTGATGTCGTAATACCTCTGAATTTTAGAGAATATGCACTTTAATAAATTCCAAGTTTGAACAAACTTTTTTCTATTTTTTTTTTTTTTTCACAATTTTTACCTGCCGAGGGCACTTAGTTTGGAATCCCAGATTAAACTGAAGACATGTCTTGTTAGAGATGAAGTTCACAGCATAGTTAATGTCACCTCACTCTCAAAGTGGGGGACGGGTGGCCCAGTCGTCTAAGGTGCCGTGATTCGCTGTGCAGAGTTGCGTCCCATGGGCACGCCAGAAACCTATGATCGTGGATTCGAATCCAAGTTTGCCCCAATTATGTTTTTAGGTTTGTCAGCACCATATCCGTGCTCGTGTGTTTCACCGAAGTGGTAAACGTCTGAGACCTGCATCACTTCGGGCTTTCCTTCCACATTAAGCTGACACACCGCGATATAACTGGAATACTGTTAAAAGCGGTGTTAAACCCGACTCACTCACTCACTCAATGCTGCTGTTTATTTTCAGGAATGCACCATAAGGAAACACCAAACCACAGTTCCCTTAATGAAACTCTGGTGGAACTTGTAGTGCGTTCGGTTTCCATCAACAGTGGCTACACGTCAAAGTTGCTGGTGAGTAATGCCTATAGAAGCTGGGACGGTGGGGGTAACCTCGTCGTTAAAGTGTTTGCTCATCGCCCCCAAGGTCCAGGTTCGATTCTCTAAACGGGTACAATGTATGGAGGTCATTTCTGCTGTGCCCGCCATGATGTTGCTGGGGTATTGCTAAAAACAGCGCGAACCCAACTCATTCCCTCACACCCTATTAGCAGCCAATCTCATTCAAATCAAATCTTTATCTCCAATTTATTATACCTCTCTACACGACGGGGCAGTCGGGTAGCCTAGTGGTTAAAGCGTTCGCTCATCACGCCAAAGACCCGGGTTCGAGTCCCCACATGGGTACAATGGGTGAAGCCCATTTCTGGTGTCCCCCGCCCTGATATTGCTGGAATATTGCTAAAAGTGGCACAAAACCATACTCACTCACTCACCCATACCAAAAGACATTAAAAGATGGTACTTGTTGTTGCCCTGTCTGGTGCTCGGCATGAAGGGGATCAAACAAGGACTGGTCGGCTGAGGGTCAATAATTTTGAACGCGATGTAAAACCCATTTCACTTCATTCTACTAGAGGCCCGTGAAGATTCCGGGGTAGAATAGGTCTTCAGCAACCCATGCTTGCCGTAAAAGGTGACTTTGTTTGTCGTAAAAGGCGACTAACGGGATCGGGTGGTCAGGCTCGCTGACTTGGTTGATGCATGTCATCGATCCCAATTGTGTGGATCGATGCTCATGATATTAATCACTGGACTGTCTGGTCCAGACTCGATTATTTACAGACCGCCGTCATATAGCTGGAATATTGCTGAGTGCGGCGTTAAACAACAAACAAACCAAATCATTCTACTAGAAATTTGGACAAATCACAAGCCGCAGACTATGGTATGATCATAATAAAAAACATCTTTTATGACTGTTTACTTCAGCCGGCAGACGAAGGTGGTTTACCCAAACAGGTTGGCAACAAGACGGAGTGTGCTCTGCTGGGGTTTGTCAAGGACTTGGGTCTGTCGTATGAAGCAGTGAGGGAGGACGTCCCCGAGGATGCCTTGGTCAAGGTGTATACCTTCAACTCTGTCCGGAAGTCCATGAGCACGGTCATCAAACTGGAGAATGGTTTCAGACTCTTCTCAAAAGGAGCTTCAGAAATTGTGCTTAAAAAGTAAGTCAGTTTGTCAGACCATGTGGGGAAGCAAATATTTCTCCTTATTGTATGTAGGGGTGGCCTAGTGGATAAGACGTGGGCTCATCATGCCGAATACTTAGGTTTTGATTCCCCACGTGGGTACAATTTTCGAAATCCATTTTGAGTGTGATCCTTGCTAATGCTGGAATAATGCCCAAAGTGATGAAAGCTAAACTCAGTTACTGGTTCATCTCAGACAATATAGTTCTTGCTTTTAGATACGTTACCTACATGAAAGCACTTATGCACAGTGAATGCTGCGCTATACAAATGCATACATTATTATTATTATTATTATTATGAAAGGTTTGTTATATTAACAAATGTTTTGATCTTTTATGGAAGGTTCCCAACATTGATTTAATCGGGACAGATGATCCGTATTTCTAAGTTGGACAATTACTCAAAATAATTTCTCCTATATCCGTACCTCTATAGGTCGTGGTAACTTTGGTAGCATCAATGGTGTCACAGTAACCCACATTGTATCTCCCTAGATGCGATTTCATCCTGGATTGCAATGGTCAGCCGAAAGCGTTCACAGCCCGTGAGGCGGAGGAGATGGTGCATCGAGTCATCGAACCCATGGCGAGCAACGGCCTGCGGACTATCTGCGTAGCCTATAAGGACTTTGTCAGAGGTAATGGCATACACGGCTAACACCTGGTGTTAATGTAACGTAATATGACTGTGTTGTTGATATATAAAGAGGACCGCCTCCGTGGCCTAGTGGTAGAGCATCCGCCCGGAGAGCGGAAGGTCCGGGGTTCGATCCCCGACCGCGTCATACCTAAAGACGTTAAAAGATGGTACTTGTTGTTACCCTGTCTGGCGCACGACATTAAGGGGCTAAAACAAGGACTGGTTGGCTCGGAGTCAGTATACTGTGTCTGAGTGGGGTATTCATGTTAAACTGCGGCATGGTATCTCAGTGAGCTAGCACTATAAATCGGCATCAGTCCGGACTAGTACAAGCAGCCACACACACACACGTGCATGCACGTCGCTTTATAAGTGCAATAATCTTGGACGCGACGTTAAACCCCATTTCACCTGATATATAAACAATTGTCTCACAGGCGAGAAATTTAACAAATCTTCACTAAGTTCGAAGTTCAGACTATGAAAAGGTTACTAACCTACAGGAAAATGAAATGCTGCAAATATTTTTGCCTGTTTTGTTTATTTTCTACTTGCTTCCATCAATTCTACCCCGGTGTATTGTGTACTTTGATTCTCATGTTTTTGTCATCATGTGAAGGCTATGTGGTTCTCACTCGAATATTGCTAAATGCAACGTAAAACCATACTCACTCACTCACTCATGGTCTTTGATTCTTGTGGACGTTGTTTCTCATGTTTTTGGCATTCAGTGAAAGCCATTTCTTGAGGTCCCTGCTGGAATTCTTAAAAGCGAAGTAAAACAATACTCACTCATGGACGTTGTTTCTCATGGATGTTTCTCATGGACATTGTTTCTTATGGACATTGTGTCTCATGGACGATGTTTCTTATGGACATTGTTTCTCATGGACATTGTTTCTCATTGCTGCTGTTTTTCATGGACGTTGTTTCTCATTGACGTTGTTTCTCATGGACATTGTGTCTCACTGACATTGTTTCTCATGGACATTGTTTCTCATTGCCGCTGTTTCTCATGGACATTGTTTCTCATTGAAGTTGTTTCTCATTGACGTTGTTTCTCATGGACATTGTTTCTCATTGCCGCTGTTTCTCATGGACATTGTTTCTCATTGCCGCTGTTTCTCATGGACATTGTTTCTCATTGATGTTGTTTCTCATTGACGTTGTTTCTCATGGACATTGTTTCTCATTGATGTTTCTCATTGACGTTGTTTCTCATTGACGTTTCTCTTGGACATTGTTTCTCATTGATGTTGTTTCTCATTGACGTTGTTTCTCATGGACATTGTTTCTCATTGACGTTGTTTCTCATGGACATTGTGTCTCATTGACATTGTTTCTCATGGACATTGTGTCTCATTGACGTTGTTTCTCATGGACATTGTTTCTCATTGATGTTTCTCATTGACGTTGTTTCTCATTGACGTTGTTTCTCATGGACATTGTTTCTCATGGACATTGTTTCTCATTGACGTTGTTTCTCATTGATGTTTCTCATGGACATTGTTTCTCATGGATGTTGTTTCTCATTGATGTTTCTCATGGACATTGTTTCTCATGGATGTTGTTTCTCATTGACATTGTTTCTCATGGACATTGTTTCTCATTGATGTTTCTCATTGACGTTGTTTCTCATTGACATTGTTTCTCATTGCTGCTGTTTCTCATGGACATTGTTTCTCATTGATGTTTCTCATTGACGTTGTTTCTCATTGACGTTGTTTCTCATTGATGTTTCTCATTGATGTTTCTCATTGATGTTGTTTCTCTTGGACATTGTTTCTCATTGACGTTGTTTCTCATGGACATTGTTTCTCATGGACATTGTTTCTCATTGACGTTGTTTCTCATTGATGTTTCTCATTGACGTTGTTTCTCATTAACGTTGTTTCTCATGGACATTGTTTCTCATTGACGTTGTTTCTCATGGACATTGTTTCTCATGGACATTGTTTCTCATTGATGTTTCTCATGGACATTGTTTCTCATTGATGTTGTTTCTCATTGACGTTGTTTCTCATGGACATTGTTTCTCATTGATGTTTCTCATTGACGTTGTTTCTCATTGATGTTGTTTCTCATTGACGTTGTTTCTCATGGACATTGTTTCTCATTGATGTTGTTTCTCATTGACATTGTTTCTCACTGATGTTGTTTCTCATTGACGTTGTTTCTCATGGACATTGTTTCTCATTGATGTTTCTCATGGACATTGTTTCTCATTGATGTTGTTTCTCATTGCTGCTGTTTCTCATGGACATTGTTTCTCATTGACGTTGTTTCTCAAGGACATTGTTTCTCATGGACGTTGTTTCTCATTGACGTTTCTCATGGACGTTGTTTCTCATGGACATTGTTTCTCATGGACGTTGTTTCTCATGGACGTTGTTTCTCTTGTATCAGATAATGTTGGTGGGAACATGGTGAAGATCGAGGGTGAAGTTGACTGGGATAATGAGGATGCTATAGTGCAAGGACTCACCTGCATCTGTGTCGTGGGTATCGAGGATCCAGTCCGAGACGAGGTAAGGGGAGATAAGTTGTAAATGTGGGTTTTGTTTTGTTTTGTGAAGTTGGCAATTTTGTAAGGTGACGTAACGTTATAAATATTTTGACAAGATTGAAAGAAATGTGTCTATGTTAAATAACCTGAAGATAGGGTTAGAATAGACCTTCAGCAACCCATGCTTGGTGTTAAAGGTGACTGACGGGATCGGGTGGTCATGCTCGCTTACTTGGTTGATGCATGTCATCGTATCCTAAATGCGTAATCGATACTCATGATGTCATTCACTTGATTCTGGGTTATGGACCACCGTCATACAGCTAGAATATTGCTGAGTGCAGCGTTAAGAAACAAACAAACAAACAAATAACCTGATTTAAGAAGAAGCATGTAGATTAAATGTCAATTTCCTTGACAAGAAGGTTGGTTCCTTGAGCTAGGTTGGCATGGGTGGCTGTCTTGGATCCTGATGAATCTTGATAGATTCAACACTCTAGGCTAACGGATACATATCAGTCTAGCAATTAATGATATAACACACAGAGCAGAGACAGGGTCAGTATGATGTATACTACAAATTACAAGACCCGTGAAGATTCCGGGGTAGAATAGGTCTTCAGCAACCCATGCCTGTCGTAAAAGGCGACTAACGGGATCGGGTGGTCAGGCTCGCTGACTTGGTTGATGCATGTCATCGATCCCATGCGTGGATAGATGCTCATGATATTAATCACTGGATTGTCTGGTCCAGACTCGATTATTTACAGACCGCCGGAATATTGCTGAGTGCGGCGTTAAACAACAAACCAACCAACTACAAATTACAAGGCCTGAGCCTGCCAATATGGGGTTCACTTGATGCAATCCAGCCCACCCTAAATGGTGTTTAACCCAACTCACTTCTAGATGTTGCGTTGCAGGTCCCGGCAGCAATCAAAAGCTGCCAGAAGGCAGGCATTACCGTGAGGATGGTCACCGGCGACAACATCAACACTGCTCGATCTATCGCTTCCAAGTGTGGAATTATTCCCCCTGGAGAAGACTTCCTGGTGATGGAGGGCAAGGAGTTCAATCAGCGCATCAAGGACCCAGCGACAGGAGAGGTATAGTACAAGCACTCCGTGACTTAAGCCCCAGGGACCCATTCCACAAAGCCATCTTAGCGCTAAGGTGATTGTAACTCCCATTCTTTAACACTGACTTACGACAGTCATAGCGCTGAGATTGCTTTGTGGAGCGGGGCCCAGGTCAGAAGCCATCTAGTAAAATAAAGTTTGATTAGATAACTCAGCCACCAGAAGTCCTAAAATATACTAAGAAGGATGCTAAGATCCAAGTTTGGTTCTGTAGACTTTTTTGGCACCCTGTACAAGGGAGATAACTCATTGATAAAAATCGTTTGCGTCCAAGGATCAGTCAGTTTCTTTAATATTGTTACAAAATTTGTCAATTTATGAGTATGGAAAAACTCTGTCTGTTTAACATGTGATATGAGCTGATGTTGTAAATATATATGAATAATAGGGACCGTTGGGTAGGCTTGTGGTCATGGCAGACACGGGTGGCCCAATCATCTAAGGCGCGTCCCTTGGACACGCCAGAAACCTATGATTGTGGGTTGGAATCCCAGTTCGCCCCAATTATGTTTCGCAATATTGCAGGATTGTTGATAAAAGCAGTGTAAAACCTTGAACACTCGCAGTGTCCGAATTGTGCTTCGTTAAAACTGACCTACCTGTTGCAGGTGAGACCGGACCTGTTTGACCAGGTGTGGCCCAAGCTCCGTGTTCTGGCCCGATCTTCACCCCAGGACAAGTACACTCTCGTCAAGGGCATCATCGACAGTAAACTCACCCCCAACAGAGAGGTTGTCGCGGTAACCGGAGATGGAACAAATGATGGACCTGCTCTGAAGAAAGCTGATGTCGGATTTGCTATGGTAATCCTCTTTTCATTCATTTGAGGGGCAGTCGGGTAGCCTAGTGGTTAAAGCGTTCGCTCGTCACACCGAAGACCCGGGTTCGATTCCTGACCTGGGTGCAAAGTGTGAAGCCCATTTGTGGTGTCCCCCGCCGTGATATTGCTGGAATATTGCTAAAAGCCGCATAAAACCATACTCATTCACTCATTCATTTGCTTTCATAGGTTGTTAGAAGATGGAACAGCAAAGCTTTAGAGCAACAAGGAAGAAAACCTAATTATCAAATTCATCAATACACTAAAGCAAAGAATCTGCTAATACTGTATTAAGTCTGATGTTAACTGTGTTGTCTGATTTGTAGGGTATATCTGATACTGTATTAAGTCTGATGTTAACTGTGTTGTCTGATTTGTAGGGTATATCTGATACTGTATTAAGTCTGATGTTAACTGTGTTGTCTGATTTGTAGGGTATATCTGATACTGTATTAAATCTGATGTTAACTGTGTTGTCTGATTTGTAGGGTATATCTGTAACTGTATTAAGTCTGATGTTAACTGTGTTGTCTGATTTGTAGGGTATATCTGATACTGTATTAAGTCTGATGTTAACTGTGTTGTCTAATTTGTAGGGTATATCTGGAACTGATGTAGCCAAGGAGGCTTCTGACATCATCCTGACTGACGACAACTTCACCAGCATCGTCAAGGCCGTCATGTGGGGTCGTAACGTCTATGACAGCATCGCCAAGTTCTTACAGTTTCAGCTGACTGTTAACGTGGTTGCAGTTCTTGTTGCCTTCTTTGGCGCCTGCACAATCAATGTAAGAACTGGAGTTTTTCATATTATATACACACTCTCGACATTTTGATAGATACAAGACTGATCTCTGATGACTTACCCCATGAAGATCCAGGTTGGAATTGGTCTTCAGCAACCCAAGCTTGTCATACAAGATGGCTAATGGGATCGAATGGTCGGGCTCGCTGACTTGGTTGATGCATGTCACCATATCCCAATGCGTTGATCGATGCTCATGATGTCAATCACTGGATTTTCTGGTCCAGACTCGGTTATCTACAGACCGACGTCATATAGCTGGAATATTGCAGTGCTAAGCAACAAATACCCAGAAGCCTGTTGATACAGACAATTCTTCCTCAGATGGGAATGTCCATGTTGACAGGGATTTACTGTATATGTAAATAACATGAAATATCTCACGATCCATCCCTGTCTAATATTGTACTGTTGAAGGGCAGCACACATTGCTCGTTATCCCTGTATATTATGACTCTATTTTATCACAGGCTCTGTGTTATCACAGGCTCTATGTTATCACAGGCTCTATGTTATCACAGGCTCTATGTTATCGTGGTATTGGTAAATCTCGTAATCCACACCCCTGTATATTATGACTATATTATCACAGGCCCTATGTTATCACAGGCCCTATGTTATCGTAGTATTGGTAAATCCTGTTTACTAAATGCAAATCTAAACACAATATTTCATTGCTTGATCGAATACAGGACTCGTTTCGTTACTACTCATAATTATAAACGTTAACACACACTTTTTTATAGTTTCTGTAATGTTTTTGAAGTGGAACTCCATTCGAAATTGGTTAGAAAAGAACCCATTTGTTTAGACGATGTCCCTTAACCAACCTAGGTCGTATGTATACTGATTATGCACAGTCCATACCCGGAAATGATGTAAAACACACATTCCACACATATCATTAAACAATACTATAGAATTGCCTCCCCTTGAGACACTAATGACAGGTACTTTGTTTACCGAACACGGTTTAGAAAATCAGCATCGATCAATCCTAATAGATGTGTCATAAAAGTTGAACAAAGAACAAGAAACATTTTCCGTATGACATATAATAGGTTAGTCAACGTGGACCATTATGATCCATTTTTAATTAACTTCCGCAATAATATAGCGTAAAATTCTACTACTGAATGAAAAGTCATTTTGCTTTCAAATTTAGTTTATTTGGTAATGTGTGACCTGGTTATCTGTTGTCGTACCTCAAAGTATTTTTTCAAAGAAGTATTTGATTGGACCTGACTCTGTTAACATGCCACCTTCATACACCTCATAAAACATAGGGGCGGTCGGGTAGCCTGGTGGTTACGCTTTCGCTCGTCATGCCGAAGACCCGGGTTCGATTCCCGACATTGGTACAATGTGTCAAGCCCATTTCTGGTGTCCCCCGCCGTGATATTGCTGGAATATTGCTAAAAGCAGCGTAAAACCATACTCACTCACTCCTAAAACATAATTCACTCATGTTCCCATTTTATAGTTAAACATATATTTCTAAACGACAAATATCCATTCTTACCCTGCTTCTAACAGTTTGTTCTTCCTCTTACAGAACAGTCCGCTCCGAGCTATCCAGATGTTGTGGGTAAATCTTATCATGGACACCCTGGCTTCCCTCGCTCTCGCCACCGAACTTCCTAGCAAAGAACTCCTAGATCGTAAACCATACGGCAGAACAAAAGCTCTCATCTCCAAAACCATGTATAAAAACATTGTTGGTCACTCTGTATATCAGCTGACAGTCATCTTTACTCTACTATTTGGTGGTAAGTTGACAAACGGTGGGAATAACGATATGCGATAATATATAATACCGTATTCCACGTATTAAGCGCCCAGGGCGCTCTCAAAATTAGAAATAGGGGGCTCTTATTAGGATATTACTTTGGTGGAAAAAACAGAGTTGGAAGATAAATTTCGTGGTTTATGCCGACAGTCTGAACTGTTTATATATATGACAGATACATTTTTCCAGAATACAAATGCCCATAATTAAGGGTGCATATAACACACGAGTGCGTATTATACACGAATAAATAAGTCTTGTGTACCTTGATAAATCGGAAGGGGGGCTAATTGGGATTGTTCACTAGCCAATATATCAGCAAATATCGCCGTGGGCGCTTATTAGAACGGGGCGCTTATTACGTCGAATACGGTATATGTAATTGCCTGTTTAAACATTCAATCTGATCTGTGAATAGGGATTGTGGGGTGGACGGTACCCCAAGACACCATGTTTGTAAGTTGCTTGATGGTCACAATGTGTGACTTGCTGCTTATGTATCACCGGACCCCAAACTTGTGGGAAATTCTTTTTGATTCCACCCGAGGGTAAACATCTCTGGGTGGGAAATGCTTTTTGATTCCACCCGAGGGTAAACATCTCTGGGTGGGAAATGCTTTTTGATTCCACCCGAGGGTAAACATCTCTGGGTGGGAAATGCTTTTTGATTCCACCCGAGGGTAAACATCTCTGGGTGGGAAATGCTTTTTGATTCCACCCGAGGGTAAACATCTCTGGGTGGGAAATGCTCTTTGATTCCACCCGAGGGTAAACATCTCTGGGTGGGAAATGCTTTTTGATTCCACCCGAGGGTAAACATCTCTGGGTGGGAAATGCTCTTTGATTCCACCCGAGGGTAAACATCTCTGGGTGGGAAATGCTTTTTGATTCCACCCGAGGGTAAACATCTCTGGGTGGGAAATGCTTTTTGATTCCACCCGAGGGTAAACATCTCTGGGTGGGAAATGCTTTTTGATTCCACCCGAGGGTAAACATCTCTGGGTGGGAAATGCTTTTTGATTCCACCCGAGGGTAAACATCTCTGGGTGGGAAATGCTCTTTGATTCCACCCGAGGGTAAACATCTCTGGGTGGGAAATGCTTTTTGATTCCACCCGAGGGTAAACATCTCTGGATGGGAAATGCTCTTTGATTCCACCCGAGTGTAAACATCTCTGGGTGGGAAATGCTTTTTGATTCCACCCGAGGGTAAACATCTCTGGGTGGGAAATGCTCTTTGATTCCACCCGAGGGTAAACATCTCTGGGTGGGAAATGCTTTTTGATTCCACCCGAGGGCAAACATCTCTGAACCTTGTCACTTGTTTCCCTATCTTACAAGCCAACATGCCAAAACTGAAATACTGTTCAAAGCTGGGTTAAAATCATCTCCCTTCCTCACCAAGCATCTTAATACCTTTATCAAGACTTCCTTGACTCTGTTGGGCATCCAGGTTCAAATAGGTCCACAGCAATCTATCCTTGTCTCACCAGGCGACTTAATGGATCGGGTGGTTCGACCCGTGAAGATCCGAGGTAGAATAGGTCTTCAGCAACCCATGCTTGCTGTAAAAGGCAACTTTGCTTGTCGTAAGAGGCGACTAACGGGATCGGCCGGTCAGGATCGCTGACTTGGTTGAAGCATGTCATTGATACCAATTGCGTGTATCGATGCTCATGATATTAATCACAGGATTGTCTGGTCCAGACTCGATTATTTACAGACCGACGTCATATAGCTGGAATGTTGCTAAGTGTGGCATTAAACAACTAACCAGCCAACCAACTAACCAACCAACCAACCAACCCTGGTTGAAGAACAGATAAAACGCTAAGGTTGACATGTGTTTGTTTCAGGGGCCGGGTTATTTGACATCGATGACGGTCGTGATAACCAACAAGTTCACGCCCCACCCACACAACATTTCACCATCATCTTCAACACCTTTGTCATGATGACGCTCTTCAATGAGATGAATGCTCGCAAAATACATGGGCAGAGAAATGTATTTGAAGGCTTACAAAGAAACCCTGTCTTTATAGGAATCTGGATAGGAACTATGGTAGCACAGGTACGATACAGCCGAAGATGTATTGTGACGTCTTGTGTAGTGATGGAGTTGGCATAGTTAATCTATTCCGAGTTTGACAGCAATGGCGTCACATGTTATCTTGGACAGATGTGGTTTGAGGGTTTCTTTTGGAAATATTTATCAGTTTCCTTCACGATTTGCTGGTCATGTGACAAGGATTGTGACAATCGTTTAGTCGATGAATGAAATGTGAACATATTCATATTCAAAATGATCAAGAGAATATTGTAGCCATCGTTCGTGGTAACTCTGAATTGTAATTTTTTGGGAACTATTGACATTACTGCAAAGCAAAGAGACCCAAGAAGATCTGGGTAGATTAGGTCTTCAGCAACCCATGCTTGCCATAAAAGGCGACTATGCTTGTCGTAAAAGGCGACTAACGGGATCGGGTGGTCAGGCTCGCTGACTTGGTTGATGCATGTGATCGTATTCCAATTGTGTGGATCGATGATCATGCTGTCAATCACTGGATTGTCCGGTCCAGACTCCATTATTTACAGACCGCCGTCATATAGCTGGAATATTGCTGAGTGCGGCGTTAAACAACAAACTAACAAACAAAGAAAGCAAAGCAAAGGAAAAAGTTAAATGTGCGTTGTCTTGCGCTTCAGGTTTTCATTGTGCAGCTTGGAGGAATAGCCTTCCACACCAAAGGGCTGTCATTAGAGCAGTGGTTTTGGTGCCTCTTCTTTGGTTTCGGGGCACTTTTATGGGGGCAAGTAAGTATCGCTTTTATTTACCTAATTTATTTACATGTAATTCATCGGAAAGCGTTAAAATTCTGTAAGGACATTTTCATGGCACAAGATAGTTCTCATGAATTCTGATGGCAACGAGATAGATCGCCAGAATACATAGCATGTACGAGCGTCTCACTTTCATGTATTTCTTATTTCGTATAATGAGGATCAGAGTGTTGGACCTGGCTGTGCGCCCTGATAGCCCATCACCGACGGTTTGTCTGGCCCAGACTGCCATCATGTAGCTGTAATATTGCTGTGCTGTGGTGCAAAATCAGGTTCTCTGACTAACCCACTCTGATACAGTCAAGTCTCGTTAATCCAACACTGACAGTTGGTTTTATCCGGCACTAATGAAGGGAAGGGAAGGCTATATATATATGCTGTATATATGCTAATAACGAAACTACGGTTATAACGAACTAAAATTATTGGTCCCTTTGAGTTGGTGATAACCGAGTTCCTTAGTTCCTTTGAGTTCGGGGCGGTCGGGTAGCCTGGTGGTTAAAGCGTTTGCTCGTCACGCCGAAGACCCGGGTTCGATTCCCGACATGGGTACAATGTGTGAAGCCCATTTCTGGTGTCCCCCGCCGTGATATTGCTGGAATATTGCTAAAAGCGGCGTAAAACCATACTCACTCACTCACTCCGTTGAGTTCCTGTATATTTTTGAAAGAAATCCCAGGTGGCACCATTCTCATACTGTACTCTGCATTTGAAGGTTATAACAAGTATTCCATCTCATAAAATACCGAGGATATCCTGCCCTTGCATTAAGCATGAGGAAGAGCATGAAACAGAGGATGACATTGACGGCGTAAACGCCAACGAGGACTCGGTAGGACGCCGCGGCCAGATCCTATGGGTGCGCGGCCTGACTCGCCTGCAGCAACAGGTATGTTCCTTTGTTCACTCTGTCTCTCTCTCTTTAGTCTCTCGTAGTCTAGGAGCGCAGTCGGTTTTTTATTTATGTTGCTAGTTATAAGTAGTTCAATATTTATTTCAAGCAGCCAGTGTTAAATTTAAACTGCATGGGTGCTACTTCACTTGTATACAATATATATATCATCTGTATCAGATGGTTGATGGTTTGTAGACGTCAGATAATTGTCTTGTGTCATTTTACTACCGATTTGTTTGATGATAATGTGAATTTATGTATATCATTTTCTTACACTCTCACTGGTATGTTAATATCAGTTAAAGCCGATTTTTAGTTTGTTTTGCTCAGATTGTTTTGCAACTGATGAGTTTGCTTATAAGCGTGGTTACCGTGATACAAAACGGACAATGTGAGACTTCACATAAGAAATCTGTTTGAAAAATTTGTGAAGCATTTTGCGACTTTTGTGCCACTAAACAAAATTTCAGTTTGGTTTTGATGTAGGATCTAATATTAATCAAAAATTCACCTAGTAAATATGTAGCATTTGCATGACATCGTTTCCAGCAGAATAGAAAAATGAACACACTGAAACAATACAACTATATACATCGGCTTACCTGATGACGGAAATCGTTTAATATACTTGGTGGGTTGCCATGTAATCAAAGCCTCTTTTTCAGCCAAAAAAAACTATTCATGAATACAGATATTTGAATAAGTCTTTTCCCAACTGAAGATGAACAAAATCTGTCCAAGTTGTAAACTTGAGTGTTCTCTGCTTCTATTTGCCACTGTGTGGGAATGCCGATCGCAATCTAGTAGGTCACATCGACCCCTGGACGTTTCTAACGGCATGATGTATCTTAGTCTGTGGTTTAGCGTGTGGTTACTACGTGTTGATCAGCAACACAGTCATGTTGTTGTTGTTGACTTCGTCGTCGTCGTGGTTGTGTTGGTGTCGTGGTTGCTCTCCATCTTTTTCCAGGAGTTTTGTATGATTTGATGTGATTACTAACATGTAACATCGTGACTTTCATCCCATATTGGAATATGACAATTTGTGTAATGTCGCCTTAATTGTTGAATGCTGTTATTAGATGAAGACAACTGTGGCATCATTGGGGCCACCAAACTCTTCACCAAATCACACATTCAAATAAGGGGAGATAACTTATGTATGACAATGTTTTTCTTCCAGCTGTTGTTTGAAGTGTAACTGAAGAGGGACTACTTGTTTTTTATGGTTTTTTGTGACTGATATTTCATCTTTTATCTATTATCTTATATGGTGTGCAGGTTCCAGGGCCTGATGTAGCACATCATGCATGTTCAGGGAGCTACGGACCGTGGTCAGTCGGACCGCTCCCTATTCTTCAACGGCTCTTCTCGGTCACTCTCAATTATTTCATGCAGCAAGTGAACAATACTGCCATTATAGACAAAGTTACGTTTACTGTATTTTTAGCAATAAGGCTTCCCCAAAGAGTAATGTTTCAAAATCTTTGCATAGTCAGTAAGCCTCTGGATTAATTCATCACAAACAGATTTGAAATTGTTGTCACAACCAAAGTAAAAATCTTGAAAATAATTGGAACTTGTAATGTTCATCGTCAGTGTCGTGTCCAAAGTTGCTTTGTGGGAATCAAGTTAAGAATCTTGAAATTATTTAAACTTGTAACATAAACGTCATTCTTAAGTCTTGGGTCAATCAGGTCAATCAAATCATTGGAAAATGGAAATCTTTGAACATTCTGGGACGTTCTTTAATTTTCACCAGCTGTCCATGATGTTCGTTAGGCAGTCCCTTAATTTACTGAACAGGCAATGTGAAAAATCTTAGCATGTTTGATTTCGAGATGGAATTCACATGCCTGAAACATTTTGCAAAATGCTCAACAATTTGACCTCTGACCTATGAGACATTGCATCTCTCCACTGGAGATTTGTTTTTGGGAAAGTAGTTTTTTCTAGAAATATATGATTAAGTCTCAAAACATCCTCTGTAATCGACTCAATGATAATATTAACAAAATGGTCCATGCATTAGCATGCTCAAAATGTTTATTCAATGTAAGACTAAAATTGTAAGTATGTATTAATGTAAATTTACCTTATGCATTAAGTAGGTGTTTTCTCACATGATGGCAATTTAATAGTAAAAGTTTACTTAAGGGGGACAAAGTTGTCAATGTTTGCATGTGAACTGAGTCAGAAATAATGCTCGTTTTGGTACAATTCTAACACATACGATAAAAATATCATGTTGGAACATAGCATGGCTGGAAATAATTGACTGTCACCGAGTCTTTTATTATATGTGAAATCATAATTTTTTTCTTCATCTTTCACTTTGAGTTTTCTCTGAGGTGGGATGTGTGTTTGTTGATTGTGTTGGGCTCTGGGTACATACCTACCTACATTCATACATACATCCGTAGTCGTGTTCTGTGGGAGCTTGGGAATCTTGCCGCCTTCTCGCCGCCATCGCCAATTTGTGTTGCTGGCTGGTTTCTCTGGCAGCCTGAGTAAATGTTAATTCTTTTTTGTTGACAGCTGCGAGTAGTGAGAGCATTTAAGAGTACACTTGAGGATCTGGAGGAGAAACGTAGCGTTCACAGTTTTCACAGTTTACACAGCATTCGTAGCTCCCGTAGTCACCAGGGGCCTCGTACTATCAGTGAAGAGGCCAACTCACATCATGAAAAATTCTTACGTACCCCTCCTCCCGACCTCAACTCGCCCCAGTCGCCCGATTATGCTTCCCCCCACTGTGACCAGCCTTTTAAACTTAAGAGCCAATCATACGAGAATGTACCCCTAGTCTCTAAACAGCCCTCCCCCATAATGGCCTCGACCAACCCGGCACACAAGGCCTCGCCTCCAAAGACTCTCAGTCACTCTGACATTGTGGGCGCCCGACACGAGACTACGATCTGATTGGCTGACAGGCTGCTGCCTTCACTGGCTCCTCCCCCCATGGCTCACGGCCTGAACATCGTAAAATGGGACTGTCGTCATTGCTGTCGTGAACCTGTGCTGGTCGGCCCATGACCAGCAAACATGGATGTGTTGTCAAGCACCAGGGTGACTGAGCGGTTCCAGAGTGATTCACTGTGATAACAAGTTGTAGTAGTTGTTAAACCATGTATGTGTGCGTCTAGCACGTATGCCAAAGGGTTACAATGGGCAGGACATTATTGTTGCATTGATGTGGGATGTCGTCGTCTCCTGGTTGCGTGTTTCTTTCTGCGTATGTTAGTACGTTCACACGTGTTGCAGGGACATTCCTAGCACTGGGGTTTGGTCCAGTCACATGACAGTCACATGACCAAGCTTTGATTTCACCTCACTCGACCTGCACAATTCAAGTGTACTTACTTGTCCTAAGTCCTTGGTACTCTATTGTTTTCTAGTTTCTAGTCCACTAACCCCGTCGTACCTCTTGTTTCCGTTTTGTGTATGTGTTAAAATACTTTCAATGGTTTCTTTTGGTTTGTTTTCAGATACGTGTAGTTAATGCTTTCCGCATGAGCTTAGATGCTCGTTACGACAGTCGTAGTTTGTCATCAATCCATAGCTACCACTCACTGCAAAACTTTAGAATGATGTCCAAAAAACCACCCACCACCATGTCCTCTTCTATGCTGAGTAGCCACGACACTGAGGCAGCATCATCTCGTCCCTCGGATTCCCACGCCACCGCGCCCATTACTGAGCAGACTGCACTGTGATTGGCTAGCTGTGTGTCCCGCTATCCAATCAATGGCCTCACTTCCCGTCTGCTCATCAATTGTGCACCTCAGTCGTGTTGCCTCCTCCTCCTGTCCGCCCGCCCGCTGCTGTCTAGATTGGAGGACCCTCACCCCTGTACATAATAAGATCCTGTGTGTGTGGTCATCGTCGTCATCTCTGCTGCATCATCATCGTCGTCTGCATAGTGGTGGTCGTCGTCAGCGTAGTCATCACTCTGGTGTCGTGTCACCTGTGACCTTTCACCCTGTCTCGGCTTTAGCGGCCTGCTATCAGCAGCCATCTTACCTTATGTAATTTGCCACCTTGTTAAATATGTGTTTTTCTCATGTCCTTGTTTTTTATATTTTTTTCCTCATGATTATTTTCAACTTGGCATGTTTTTATTGTTGTTTATTGTCAATAAAACCAGCCTGCTTGTGACTGTCTGTACCGGCCAGGCAGAAAGGCGAACGTGCCGCTGTCCACAACTCACCTGTAGATGCCGAGAAATAGATGTAGTTGAACTCAATCATGTACAGGAGCTTTGCACTCTCGGTAACCTTGTACATAGCACCAATGTCCTAATGATGTGTATGTGTCGCAGGCTCCCTATAAGGGTTAGCTCCTGTTTGCTGGTTATAATGATTCATCATACTATGGGGTTCGATAGGATCCGACTCTCTAACCATTCCCACTCACCTCCACAATTCATCCAAGCATACCTCCACATTCAATCACGTGTGTAAATAACGGATGGACACACATCTTTTCTGTTCACTCATACAGTGGCTCTCAGATCACGTTTCAGATCTTCATTATCAACTCGGCATAATTTTATCTCCTTTTTTTTCCATTTACGTGAGTCACTATTGCAAGTTTATATTTTGTATTTTATCTTGTAGTCTTAAAACCGAATCTGGCCACTGTGGTTTTCACATGCTGTGTGTCTTGATTGACTTTTGCATGTTGTTGGATGAGAGTTATCTCCCCCTAGATGCCTGCATAATTTGATTACTGATGGTATTTGAATACAAGATGTTGAACTCTGTGCTGTGTTTCTATATTACCTGTGATACACAATGCTACTGACCTTTGATGCATATTGAGTGGAGTTTGATGACTTATATCGTCTGCTGCAGTGTGTGTATATTACCTAACAGCCATGCAAGCATGCAGTGAGTTTTTATGTTCAAAGTATTCTAGCCTCCAGTTTGGAACAAGGGCGTACCAAAATGATTGAATTACGTGCTCAGCGAGGAGATAGATCTTCCAATGTTGTTTTGCTGATATAGAGTAGCGAAGCGATAGACTGAAAAGAAATTCTTGGTTGATGACAATCAGTGTCCCCGGGTATTATATGTGTCGTAAAGGTGTCCTGATGAAGTGGTTAAGATGAAAGAAAACTGAACCAAAGATATGTACGAAAACCCAGATCCCTTAACCACTATCATGTAGTTACTAATTTATACGTTGGAGTAAGTGGATGACTCCAGTCTCAGGATATCTCAGCATCCTTTTGTCAACTGACTTCAGTTTGTTTTTTAGATGCAAGGTTTTTTTTTTGCTTGTTGGCAAATCTGGCAGTATTTCAGCAGGATGTGAAGCAAAACCGTCTCTCTCCACATGTTGAAAATGGAATCTCATTGTTTCGTTCTCATTACGTAAGCTTCACTTTTGACCAAAGTACAAGACGATGGTGTAATTGGTTTTGATATTCTTTATATGCTGCAGGCAATTTTGAACAAAGGTTTATTTTAATTTCCGTGTGTTTCGAGGGAATCTTAATGTACAGTGTTTAGTATGACTTTTTGTACAGAATGTTTTTAACCAGATATTATATTTAAAAGGGAACAACAGTTGTTGAAGTAATTTCTCAACAATTATGATTGACATGTAGTTTCGTTTCATTCTAGACTGGAATATGACACTAAGACAGTTAAATCTCATTTTCTCAGTACTGTTCTCGAAAACGTTCCAGTCACACTGTGCTTCTTTCAGGGCGAAAATCATCAGCATCCCATTGAGAGCACGCTTTCAAAGTTCACATTCCTTAAAGTCCAGTTTTAGGACACTTCTTACACGAAATCAGTGATGTGAAAGCATGTTTTCATGTTTTGAAAGAAATGTCTGTTAAAATAAAAAATGCCCTGTTACTGCCAGATCCCGTAATGTCCTCCACGAGTGTTTGTCGAGATCGGTAATGGCGAGGAATTATCTGTTGGTACGTAATCTCAGTGAGAGTTGTCGAGTCTCGGTGTAGGAGGTTCATATGGGTGGAACTTGCAGTGGCCAGATTCGGTGGTAAAACATGCCCCGTTATAGACTGCAGTATTCTGCCTCGTCAGCAAGGGGCGTTTGCCTGAGCATCCGGAACAGGCACATCATTCATGGAGAGAGTTTGCAAGTTTACATGTTCACAGATTAATCTTGTCATACGGAATTCTGATTTATAGTTCACTCAAGTCTTGTAGGCCGATAGTTCACACAAAACACTCTTCAGTTACCAGGTTAGATCTTTGTATTAGTGGAAATATGTAAAATGTGAAATGTCTGATTTTAATTTAGAGAAAGTTGGATTTGTAAACTTAGTGTGTTGTAATTTCGGATTGATAGATCACCAGAAATATTTTCAGTTCACGTTAGGAAACGATCTTTGTAATAGTGACAATGAAAAGTGTAAAATTGTCCCATTTTTGAACCAACTGTCCGAGTTTGTGACACAGTTAGGATGAGGTTGGGAATGTGAGGATGAAGATTATGCTAACAAATTGACTCAATGCACACGATGTATAAAGTCGTTTCAAGACTGCCCATTCCATTGTACACAGTTTCCCCATCAACTATTGGTTGTTACCCTATTGATGTTGGGATGTGGTTAAAAGATGTTATTCTAATGAGAAAGTTGAATTTTCACAACTATATTATTATGGCTTGTTATCATCATATTTTACGATCCATAGATAAAAGTATTTTTTTGTCAGTGTAGATTTTCTTTGCAAGTCTTCATTTGTACATTGCTTCCATGGTATGTTATTCCCTACACAGCATGATAGTGTTCAGTGTTTCTAGCACTGGCTTAGTTTCAGATAAATATTACAGACTTTGATATTTCAAAGTGTGTTTTAAAATGTACTGGGTAGTAATACACTGACTGTTAAACAAATGTATAACGTTGTTAATACTCTGCTGGCTCTCGGCAGACATTAGGTTCAGATTCGAGAATGTCGTAAGCTGTTTTGACAAGACATGTTATTCACAACTGTAGGTTTTGTAATACTTTTTCGTTTAAAGTATAAATGTTCATGCAATTATTTATGGTTTTTAAGAAATAAACAAATTTTAATCTGATAGAATAGTTGGTTATGATTCATGATAATATAAGTGACAGATAAATTTGGTCTTGGACATTTTTTTCATAAATTGTTTTTAATATTTCTCTTCAAATCGATAAGGTGGGGACTGGGATTACTTTTCATGGATTTTTACCTTTTCCTGTTTTTTCCCCTTTTTATTGCTTTTTCATTCAAAATCTCAAAAGCATGAAAACTTTAATACTCCCTGCCTGGACTAACTCCGTTTATACATTTGCAGGAAATGTTGTCCGTATTTTTGCATGATGGAATCATAACGTATATGTTTGTAAACGCAAGACCAAGTTTATTCAGAGTAGCAGACTATTAGACATTTCCAACTGTATCCAACCTCAAGAAATCAAAATTTAGATTGAACATTGACGGTAATCAATTGTTTGGATTTGAATTTGAATTTTTCTAAACAGCTTCCTGATTGTGTTCAAAATGTTATGACCTACAATTCATTTGGAAGGTTTTAGAATGAGGTTGGAAGATATCAATAATCAGGGCTAGAAACTACAACAAATGAAGTCGAAATTTCTCGGTGAATACATTTTCAAAGGTTTGTCCAATGTTCATGATTGAGCATATTACAATTACAACTGAAAAACTATCGGTTTTTCCCTTTCTACACAAATGTTCATTTCACAACTTGGACATGACATGTGCCGTATATGTCCGCAGATAAGCCGAATTGGGAAGATCAGAAAAAACATTCTGTAGAAAGGGGTCGGCTTATCCACGGGATACACTTTCATGATAGTATTTTTTCATATCGTGATCTGTCAGAAACATCGCCTGAATGACGGTCCGATAGATTACAATTTCCCGAAAGTTTGGAAGTTGCCACGACTAGAGCCATTATTGTTATAAATGATCAATAAAGTTATTATTATACACCAATGTTTCAATATAATTACAACGCTTTTCATGTTATATTATTGAAGTACCATACCAGTCTGACTTCGCGGTGTGTCGTTGCCTTTCACTTCCTGGTTCGGCTTATGTTCTTTCATATTTCAATGGTCAAGTTAATACTTCGGCTTATCTACGGGGTCGGCTTATCTGCGGTCATATACGGTATTCCATAGCTGACTTTGTCGGCATGGGTTTGGTTTTATCTAAAGTTGTCTCTAGGGAAGTAGTTTCTAGCCCTACATCGTGGTCCTCGGCAGGTCTCTGTGTAATGCAGTCGGTGTTGTGTGTCATGCCTGTGCTCCGTTAAGCATCTTGAAACCATACAGTTCTCTTTTTCCCTTCTGGAATTTTTTTATTTTTTCTAAATTTTGTTATTGTTTTGGTTCAAGTTTAACATTGGTGAAGGGTTATCCAACTTTAGGGAGCCCATATCTCGCCAAACAAAACATGGTCGACCTTTTCTCAAGGCTGCATTGCAGACTTCTGCTGAGATCATTCCTGCTCAGTCAATCTGACTTCTGAGAGGAAATGTTAAAATATTTCATGGTACCAGATACTAATGAAATGTCTTGAGATTTCTGCTGGGAAGAAAATCTGAAAAACTCAAGAAGACGTGAAGAAAAGTGATCGAAATCTGCAGCCATGACAACCACAGAAGAGGAGCCAAAATATCGCAAGTCACGTATGGATGTAACAGCACTTCTGATTGGTCACCGACCTAGTATCTGGATGTGTCCTCACCTATAATTGGTCACGGTCCCACTTGTCCGTCCCACTTTGTCTCACCCCGCCACATACCACTCACGTCTGCTTTGCTTGGTCAAGGGGCATAACTGCACCTCAAACCCTTGATAAGTGGAGTGCCTTGCACTCCAGTAAGAATCTTAACCAGGGCCCCATAATCTCTGTATCCCTTTTCCAGATCAGTAACGGTTACCATGGAAAAGTGACTATACGCTTTTCCCGTTTAATTGTATATATGTATTTACTCATGTATATCTATTGCATTTTAATCACATATCATCCACTATGTTCATTCTCGACTAACATGGAACACTAACACATGCTAACCTTTTAACAATAATTATTCTTCTACAACTTGGACAAAATTGTTTGAAGGGAACTGAACACTCCTCACAATTGTTGAGTCAAAAGCACAGTTAGTACCTTAGCTCTCATTGCTGGCGTAAAAAGGTTCTGTGGTTTATGCTGCACGATTTTGCTTGGGTTTATCAAGGCATGCTGCATGGTTTGCCTGCTTTTTGGCTTCAATTTGGTAGTTTGTAGACTTTTTAGCATGCTCTTTTCTTTACATAGCGATTCTGCTGCATGCAACACCATGCTTCTAGATAGAACTTTTCTTCGTTTCACAGTAATTGGTTTACAAAACCAATGTTGGCATTCTTAATTTTTTGCTTTTTCTTTCTGTTTTCAGATTCGTGTTGTAAATGCTTTCCAAATGGACTTAGATACTCACTTGGACAGTTATGACAAGCGTAGCAGGCCCTCTGTTATTAGCCTTCAGTCTCTTCAGGCCCAAAGAGTTGGGGTTTCAAAGAAGCCCACTCTTACAAGTTCGCCCGAGGCGGACGAATCGCCGTCTTCACCTTGGTTTGGGCGAAGCGAAAGTATCCCTTATGCCGATGAATGAACCAGGGATTCCCTTATTTTTGTGTCTTTTTTCACATCCCGGCTCGTGAGAGTTACAAAAGAAATCTTGGACAGACTTACTGTCATCCCTACACCTTTTCCTTGCTTTCTCTTTTGGAGAGTTCCCAAAGGAAAGACAACTCTTGAGAAAGATCGTGTAGAGCATACTGATAACACGCATTGACTGCAAGCATGATTGGTATGTCGTACGTCGGTGTCTAGACAATGTAACATGGCTTTCGTTGAGATAACTGAATGCTTTTTCGGTGCCAGGTCATCATTCTCAGGGACGTTGAAGATATATTTATGAACAGATTGGTGACCTGCCCAGTGGTCAAATTTCTACCCATTCCATCACATGTACAGGCTCATTGGTTCGTCAGCCGATTCATGCTGCAGTATGTAGGCACAAGGTCTGTAGCTCAAGAGGGCTTTCCTACCAAATTATTTTACAATTTTACTATTAACACTTTTTACCTTCTCTTTACTGCTTCCTTCTTCTATGCAAACTGAGGGCGCTGTGTGAAAGACGTGTGCGAGGTTCCCACTACCCTCTCTATGTTCATACTGTAATTATTGTAAATGATGTCACGTGTATAAAGACTCCTAGATCAACCAGTGTGTAATATGGAAAATTCAAATCTTGCCCATAACTCATTTATTTATAATATTTAAGCATAGCTAGAAGGCTGTAGGGTAGAGCATTGTGTATATGCCTAGTCTTTCAATTCATTGTAGATACATTTTCATTTTTTTACAGATATTTATATTGGGTTTTTTTCTATGTTGTGAAGGACGGAAGCAGTAGAGGGTTGAAATGCTTGTATTAATATTACCTCCCCCTCACCTCTACATGTTTCTTTGCATCTTTCCAATGCCTACAACGTGTGAGCGTCCTATCCCGTCATGCCTTGCTCTTGCATGTTACCGATCTGGTCCGCTCGTCTGTCAATGTCTGCCATGATATGCCCCCTCATTCCTGGGCTGCTGCTGCCGCCTGATTGTTGCTTGTGTGGACGTGTCCTCCTCGTGCTCGCTGTCACTGTCATGCCTAGAGTATTTATTTAGAGTAGATTTTTTTCATCTTCAGATGATTTTTTACATAACACTCTTGCAACTTTCTTTAACCTGCCCAATGGATGCGTAGACTAGACTTATTTTCCCTTACCATTTACTAATACGAATGAACACCCCATCCCACCCTTCCTTAATAACATAACCGGTTAGTCCCGACAGACAATTCGGCTTGTTAACGAGCGAGACCCCGAGATGTGTCTGCTGCCTCTGAGCTCAGTAGCGTCGGCGTCCACGTCAGCACCCAGGCCGCCGGTGTAGGAGGGAGTTGCCGCCGACGCCGATGTCAGGATGAGAAGACCAACCACTACAACAAGTCTGCCTACTTTGTGTCGTAGATGTACCGGGTGGCGATGGTGTCGCCGTCGACTGGGCTAGCACACTAGACACTACCGCATATCCATGATGCATTTGTGTGTTTAGTACTCATAACTCATTTCTTGTTTCATCTTGGATAATAATGTATGGAGGTTTTTGGAGCTATATATAAATTTATATATATGTGGTGTTACCATCCACTGGAACTGTGTGTTGTAGGAGAGAGAGTATATATGAATATCATGGTGTAAATTCGGATCTCTATACCCTGTCTCATGTTATATATTATAAGAAATTACTACACCATTGGCAATTGATGAATACTTTCACATACTCAGTGGTTTTTTTAAAATTATTATTAACAACATCTGTTGTTCTTGTTGTGTTATTCCATTCATTGCCAAACCGTTTTAGCTGCTGCTATGTTTGGTTGAGCGTTTGGCAATATAGGATGTTTGAAGACTTTTTAGTATGGGACATCTTCTGCAAATGGCTCCCCTTCTCGCCACTAGTTTGAACTTTGCCATATGTAGTTTTGCAGGAGTGTTGGTACTTTATTGTAGAGTAGCTCAATGCATGATGCTGGGGTGGTGGCGCCCATTATGTGATGTCAATCCCATCACCCCCTCCACCTTGTACATACTTCTACCTTCATACACCCTACAACAGGCTACTGGTGAGCCTGTTCCCCGGGCAGGGGAAGGGTGTGGCACATTGCCAACTCCCAACCCCACCCCCCTTGATTGTGATGAGTAGTCATGGCAACAGACGAGTCTTGCCTCGTGACTGGCTGCTGTGGTGCTCGAGTGATACTTGGCGGGGCTGTTACCAGGCCCACCCACCTCCTTTGTCTTGTTACTTCTCTCGGGGCGAGGTCGGATGGGGCGACTCGTCACTTGGCTGGCTTGGGGTCGCGCCAAGCAGTGCAACTCGACCTCGGCGACCCCGCCCGTTCCCTCGGGTCCTGATGCAGCAGTGTGTTGTAGTAGAGTCATTGTTATAATAAAATTTTTTGTACAATCTGATGAGTATGTGTTTTTTTCTCAAATTGGAACAAAGAGTTTTGTCCTGTGACAGATGTTTCTGAATAAAAACAGGGTTCACATGAGATCCGGTCCAGTGTTTGAGAAAATTGGGGGAAAATAAAGAAAACAACAATGTCTTCACTCGGAAACGAACATTGAGGTAGCTCAACCCGTGCTCGTGCGTTTTACCACAGTCATAAATGTCCAAGACCTGCATCACATCAAGTCGACACACTCTGTTTGTTTGTTGTTCAACGCCGCACTCAGCAATATTCCAGCTTTATGATGGCGGTCTGTAAATAATTGAGTCTGAACCAGACAATCCAGTGATTGATATCATGAGCATCAATCTACGCAATTGACATGCATCAACCAAATCTGCGAGCCTGACCTCCAGATCCCATTAGTCGCCTCTTACAACAAGCATAGTCACCTTTTTACAGCAATTTTTCCTGTCGCAAGAGGCCACTAAAGGGACTGACACACTGTGATATAGCAGACATAAAGATCAAAGCGGTGTAAACCGACTCAGTTTACAGCCATATAACCTAATATAGGGCTGGGATGAGTCCAAATTAACTACTCGGGTACCCGCTGTAGATCTCAAGAGTTGGGTACAAAATGGCTGATTAGGACTCGTTTTACCAGAGGCTCGGCAAGAAGTATTTTGATACACATACAAAAAAGATCTGATCATGCATACACTGAAGTCGGGAAGAAATGCGAACGTTAGTGACTTGTAGCGTAACCATGGACTTGGTCTATACACTGGTTGGGGTAGCCCTGTAGGTACTTGGTCTATACACAGGTTGGGGTAGCCCTGTGGGTACTTGGTCTATACACAGGTTGGGGTAGCCCTATGGGTACTTGGTCTATACACAGGTTGGGGTAGCCCTGTGGGTACCTGGTCTATACACAGGTTGGGGTAGCCCTGTGGGTACCTGGTCTATACACAGGTTGGGGTAGCCCTGTGGGTACTTGGTCTATACACAGGTTGGGGTAGCCCTGTGGGTACTTGGTCTATACACAGGTTGGGGTAGCCCTGTGGGTACCTGGTCTATACACAGGTTGGGGTAGCCCTGTGGGTACTTGGTCTATACACAGGTTGGGGTAGCCCTGTGGGTACCTGGTCTATACACAGGTTGGGGTAGCCCTGTGGGTACTTGGTCTATACACAGGTTGGGGTAGCCCTGTGGGTACTTGGTCTATACACAGGTTGGGGTAGCCCTGTGGGTACTTGGTCTATACACAGGTTGGGGTAGCCCTGTGGGTACTTGGTCTATACACAGGTTGGGGTAGTCCTGTGGGTACCCGGGCCCAGTCAGTACCCTTCTGACCCCAACACAATCATAGGTTTCTAGTGTGCCCAAGGGATGCAACTCTGCACAACGAATCTCGGAGAATACTAAAAAGGTTTAGCATCATTAATGCCATGGTTCTTTTATTTTTTTAATCAGTTTGATACAAGAGTAAAAGTGTCTTTACCATTTAAACAGCCATGATAAAGACCCAATGGAACCAAAGTTTTCATCTGCAGTATCACACTGTTTGATATCATAATTCTATGATCCATTTCCGCATGAACTAATCCCAGTGTAGGGCTACATGTAAGAATATAGGTCCCCAGGAACGTATTGTGTGGAGTGAAGTTCATGTCAATCAGTTGATTGTCTGGGCCAGACTTTGATTATTCACAGCATTAAACAATATCTCCAAACAGGAAGATTTTATGCTCCTCTGTATGGTTTGCTTGAAACATTTATTCAGGTGAGCTAAAAAACAACAGCATGAAATGCTAACAGATGGACAAACTGAGTGGACTTTTGCTAGAAACAGCTGTTAAAAGAACCTTTAATTTCTTGTGCAAAAATTGTTAGGGATGAACTCAAAACTTTCATGGTTTTAACATATTCTGTTTTCATTTCAACAACTATCTGGTTGGATGCACAAGAAATCTGTAAAATAACCTAATAGTATGTAGCTCACCTGGTTAACTAGCGCTGTTGAGGGCATCGTTAGCAGGTACTACAGAATGTTCTCAAGGTACCAAAGGCTATTCAAAGCAATATTTTCACAATGCACAAAACCGGTTTCAGTATGGCCATCACTCGCGCGTGCAATACGCCACTAATGTGCTTAGGGAGGACGGGTGGCCCAGTCGTCTAAGCCGCTGTGATTTGCTGTGCAGAGTTGCGTCCCTTGGCACGCCAGAAACCTATGATTGTGGGTTCGAATCCTGGTTCGCCCCAATTATGTTTCTAGGTTTGTTAGCACCATAGTCCTGCTTGTGGGTTTCACCAAAGTGGTAAACGTCTAAGACCTGCATCACTTCGGGCTTTCCTCCCACATTAAGCTGACACGCCGTGATATAACTGGAATACTGTTAAAAGCGGCGTTAAACCTAACTAACTCACTCACTCACTCACTCACTCTGCTGTACTTGAGCGGACAAGCCTAACAGACAGTTTTGATGACCTTATTAATATGCAGCCCTATTCAAATACTTCCATCAATTATTATACACAGCCGATTGTTGAGTCATCTCAAAATTCTAAAAATATAATTACAAGAAAACTTTTGATGAGATGCATCAACAAGGCGGCAAAGACTTTTATTGTAAATAAATTGGACGGACAAATAACTTCCTCTAAATATTTAATCAACACAAGCATTTAAAAAACTTTATGAACAATATTGGTTTCAAATCATTTCTCGTCTTACATGTTTACCCATGGTTTTGACAACTACGAGTATGCCTTTCACCATCTTTCCACAGTAAATGAGCACAATAGCATATTTCATATAGAACAATTTTCATATTGGAGATATCTTGATGCCTTAACATTTGAGCCGGTTTCTCTTAAAGGCACAATAACACAGTTATATTATATTTCTAAGTTTAAAACATGAAAAAAGCAACATTCTCAGAAAATCCACTTATTTTTCCAAAATTCCAAATGATGAAAGCAAACTTCACACTGTACCTCTCCTATTGGTATAGAAAGTGTGCACTGAGTTTCAAAAGAATCTGTGCAGTAGTTGTCAAGTTATAGGTCGCACACACAAATGTCATCAGAAAGACGTCCCTTTCATGTTGGGGGTATATAGTTATACCCAGGAATTCCATCCACTTTTTTGTGCGACCTATATTTGAAAACTAGGACATTCTTTTCAAACTTGGTGAACTATCTGAGAAAATATTACTTTTTTTCATGTTTTGAACTTATGTTTGGAGCCGAAGTTTTGAGCATTAGTGTCATTTGGTATTGATAGATCTGATTTGAATAAAAAACACTCTGGGAACCTTCTATGAACTGTACACTGAGTAAGCATAATTTTTCTCTTTGGGCATGTCAGTGTATCTTCATTCATCTTTCACTGCATCCTGCATACAGGGGTCATAAGAGTGAGTGAGTATGTCTGGAATCGAACCCATGTCTTCGGCGTGATGAGCGAAGTGTCATAAAGCACTCCAAATTATCACAGCTGTTTTATGTAAACCATGAAACTTGCTATCTTAATGTGAATAAACATTCTCTACTTGCATGCTTTGTTTCTTTATTTGTATTTTACCGCCGCACTCACCAATATTCCAGCTACATGACGGCATCTGTCAATAATCGAGTCTAGACCAGACAATCCAGTGATTGACATCAAGAGATTCGATCCACGCAATTGGCACGATGACATGCATGAACCAAGTCAGCAAGCCTGACCACCCGATCCCGTTAGTCGCCCGTTACGGCAAGTATGGATCGCTGAAGACCTCATCTCTACCCGGATCTTCACCTGTCTCTACTGGCATGCAGCAGTTACTATGATACTCAACATTAGCTAAGGACCAAAACGTTTGGTGTCCAAGATACAGTTGCAAGGTGTAGTGGTATCACAAGGAACACTTGTCCATGTCATTACCATGCTTACCCATGAAATTATACCATTAAATGATTGATGCCATTACTACTATCTTTGTTTCTCATTGGTAGACTACCAGCGTTAGAAACTAAAATTTTTAGTTGGTTGGTTTGTTGTTTAACGCCGCACTCAGCAATATTCACGCTATATGACGGTGGTCTGTAAATAATCAAGTCTGGAACAGACAATCCAGTGATTGCCATCATGAGAATCAATCGACTCAATTGGGATCAATGACATGGATCAACCAAGTCACCTACCCTGACCACCTGATCCCATTTGTCGCCTCTTACAACAAGCATAGTAACGATTTTAGTCCACTAGCCCTTATAATGAAAACACATAGCAAAAGGCACCTGGTTGCCTCTTTAGAAAAGCATAGTCGCCTTTTACGGCAAGAATGGGTTGCTGAAGACCTATTCTACACTGGATCTTCACAAAAATGAAATTCCTGAACAAAAAGGCACATGTCTGATGTGTGCACAATCCTTCCCTATATCCCCTGGTGGACCCCTTTGAAAGTTTTAGATGATCTTTTTTTCATGGTTTGAACAAACTTCACATCACGTTTCGGGAATAAAAAATAATAGATCCGTTGCCTACATCATACATTTGTTCAGGTGAGCTTCATTAGTCACTGCTAAACTCTAGTTGCACACAACAGACAACATTGTAGATTTCATCAGTTTATTAACAAATGGAATTGACAAGTACCAAATGATTTGACAGTTAAACATATCACGCATACAAGATTTTCTTAAGGTTATTGCAACAACTATAAATAAGTGCACATCGAACATGCACTGCATGAAGTGGTCTGGAGAGTGAGGCAGAGGCAGATCAAAATGAAGCAATACTAGAAGCTTTTTGTACATAGCTATACAACCAAGACGGTTGTATAACAAGGTATCCATCAGCGCAACATTGTCAACACACAGACATCTTATACACCGAAATAATTTACATCTCTTTTTGAGATGTCCGAAAAAAGTTTCAGGCGGGCAAAAATATTCGTTTCATTTTAAAATATGAACACCTAATGTGAATACAGACTTTTACAAAAAGAAAATATTGTCTTACTGTATTTGGCTGCAATGAGGCACCAAGTCTACTGGAGAAAAAAGGGCAACTACAGCCTCAAGACCTCTCCGTTAACACAGCACAATGGCAACCATGGTGGGTCGCTTCATCTTACAACCAGCTACAACCTCTGTCAAACAACCAACTTTCCAACACAATTCAAACTGTTATTTGTGCCTGCAACTTATAACGATGCATAGTCGACACTTTTACAATCTGCTTTTCATCAAGTGGATGAAACATATTGAGATTATTGTGAACAAAAGATTGAAATTGTGGTGGAAACTTGGCATGGCGCTGATAGAATGGTAAACTGAGAATAAGTTACAGACAGTAAGCATCATTGCATTTGGAACTGGCGTCTCTGCTTGTCAGATGAAGCGACAGAAGTGCGCGATGGACGTGAGTGAGTGAGTGAATGCGAGCAGGCTTGCTGTTCACGTGTCTATCTGGGGAGGTTGTACTTGACGTAGGGCACTTCAACGTCTTCACCCTCATCGTCATTACAGCAGATCTCCAGCACCAGGGCTCGCACATGCGGTGGGATCTTCTTCTTGGAGACCTTCTTCACTACCTCGGAGATTCTATAGAAATCAAAGCGATCGATTACATACACAATGTTACATAACCAGTGTTTGTTTGTTTGTTTATTGTTTAACGCTGCACTTAGCAATATTCCAACCATATGATGGCGGTCTGTAAATAGTCGAGTCTGGACCAGACAATCCAGTGATTGTTTGTTTGTTTGTGTAACGCCACACTCAGCAATATTTCAGCTATATGACGGTGGTCTGTAAATAATCGAGTATGGACCAGACAATCCATGCAATTGGGACACGATGACATGCATCAAAGAAGACAGCGAGCCTGACCACCCGATCCCGTTAATCACCTCTTATGACAAGCATAGTTGACTTTTACGGCAAGCATGGGTTGCTGAAGACCTATTCTACCCAGGATCTTCACGGCAAGCATGGGTTGCTGAAGACCTATTCTACCCCGGATCTTCACGGCAAGCATGGGTTGCTGAAGACCTGTTCTACCCCGGATCTTCACGGCAAGCATGGGTTGCTGAAGACCTATTCTACCCCGGATCTTCACGGCAAGCATGGGTTGCTGAAGACCTGTTCTACATTTCTATTCACGGTCCATAACCAGTGAGAAGAATTGACCGAGTTGTTGTCAGTATTCCAGCCTTATCACAGGGGAGACCAAGAAAGGCCTTCACACATTAAACACCTGTGAAGATCCAGGTTAGAACTGGTCTTCAGCAACCCATGCTTGTCGTAAGAGGCGTCTGACAGGATTGAGTGGCCAGGTTCGCTGACTTGGTTGATGCATGTGTGAGTGAGTGAGTTGGGTTTAATGCCGTTTTTAACAGTATTACAGTTATATCATGGCGTGTCAGCTTAATGTGGGAGGAAAGCCCAAAGTGATGCAGGTCTCAGACGTTTACCACTTCGGTGAAACCCACGAGCACGGATATGGTGCTGACAAATCTAGAAACATAATTGGGGCAAACCGGGAAAAAATCGAAATTGAACGAGACACTAGTGATTGCCACCATGAGCTATACAATTGGGATACGATGACATGCATCAACCAAGTCAGTGAACCTTACCACCCAATACCATTAGTCGGCCCTCACAACAAGCATGGGTTGGTTATCAAGGTGACTTACAAAAACTGACCAAAAAACCTTGCTAAATAAGCAGGGGGAAATGTTGGTTTTCACACAAAAAACAACCCATCAAAGACATATATAGACCTAGGTGAGGTGAGGTGAAATTGGGTTTAACGTCGCGTCCAAGATTATTGCACTTATATAGCGACGTGCATGCACGTGTATGTGTGTGTGTGGCTGCTTGTACTAGTCTGGACTGATGCCGATTTATAGTGCTAGCTCACTGAGATACCATGCCGCAGTTTAACATGAATACCCCACTCAGACACAGTATACTGACTCCGAGCCGACCAGTCCTTGTTTTAGCCCCTTAATGCCAAGCGCCAGACAGGGTAACAACAAGTACAATCTTTTAACGTCTTTTTGTATGACGCGGCCCGGGATCGAACCCTGGACCTTCCGCTCTCCGGTCGGACGCTCTACCACAAGACCACGGAGGCGGTCTATATAGACGTAGAGTACTTACGGTAAATTGAGTCTTTCTTCCCTTTTCGCAGGCTGCATGAAGAATGAGTACAGCATACACACCCCCTGTGACAGCATGGTGATCTCCAGCTTGTGTTTGTCCTGGGAACAGCAGCAAAAACAAACTTCCATCAACAAGTCAAACATTCGCAGAGCGCCGCATAATGTTGTGAACCATCGAGTATTTACTTGCATGTTACAATTCACATTGGGTATTGTTTAGTTTGGATATTTAATCAGTCTGTAACTCTGGCCACTTGTCCGGTCCGTAGTCTGAGTCTAGTATAAGTGCAATCTCATTAAAATCAGATCTTAGTTCTCGCTATCGCTAAACAAGGTCTAAACTAAGATCTAAGGACATCCCATTAGGGGTCACGTCAGAACGACCTTTCATCCAACCAATCAGAGCGTCGCTTGGCCAATGTCGATTTCTTGTCAGTCATTTCATTGGTCGGTCAAAATTCGTGAAAAGGTCTCTCTGACTGACCCGTAATGGGATGTCCTCAGATCTTTGTTTAGCAGTAGCGAAAACTAAGATCTGATTATAATGAGATTGGTATAAGTGTTTGGTCTAGTAAGCTCAGCTTATAATAATACATGAATTCTAAATTCTACTGACAGCTGTGATAAGAGCCCTGCTCAGCTAGTACTGGAGTACAGGGTCGATTTAACTGCTGGCCCGTCGCCAGTTAAAATTACTGGGCTTGCAGAAATGTAAAGAAGATGGCAAGTCTTGCTAGTCCAAATTCCATCACTTCTCGGTGTATGATTAATGGTTTTAATTGAATCATCCCAGTTGAATGACAACCAGGCACCATTTGCCTTTTTTGCTCATAAATCGCCATGAAATGAGGAAAATGAAAGCCAAGACTTAAGAGTGCAGGAATAAACGTCATAGGGTTGAGGAGTTCTAAAATTTTCAGAGCCCTGCCAGGTGGCTATGCGACCTCAGGTTCAGCCACTTCACGGCATCCAACATTGAGTTGTGGGGCAGTTGGTTTGGAGAAGGGCCAGTAAATTTTAAAAGGAACAAACCCAGCTGGCTACATGCGAATTTGTTGTTAAATCTACCCCTGACGTAGTCTCAAAAGTTTCTGCAAAGACTGTTTAATATATTTACTCCTTTGGACTCAGTATAAGGGTTATTATAAACCAATGACCAGACCTTTTTCATTTTTTCGCACTTATAATTAGCACCTGTCCATGTGATGCCCCAAGCGTGTCACGGGTTTCATAAGCTCACTACTGCAATACATGTCTTAGTCACAACTATCGAGATGTAACACTTTTTAACACTGCAGTAGAGGTCGTATATACATGATGCCTGAATTCGATCAGCAAATAAAGGTCATTAAAGACACCAAAGTATGCAAGCTGGAAAGGCTACATTGAAACCTAGCCTAGAAACATAATCTGGCAGACCGGGATTCAAACCCACAAACATTGGTTTGTGGCGTGCCTAAAGTAGCAACTCTGGTCAATGAATAGCGATGCCTGGGACGATGAGGCCACCCGTGACCCCACGTACAGAATGAAAACATGAAGGACCCCTCACAGTCCAGTGAGCAGGTGAACCAAGTGTAGAATGAACACATAGAGAACAAATCGCAAATACCCTCCGATAAAAATCATAATTCTAATCCCCAATGTCACATAAGTGTAGGGGTGTAACGATAAGTTGAAATATCGATATATTGCTATTGGTAAGAAATTAAAGTCAATAAATCAATTGTTAAATCAGTTTCCGATCAATAGTATAGATTTCAGTTAGGAAAATCGATAGTTTTGATTGTATTTACCATATCAATAAAATACATGCAATGCTGTTCAAATTTGTTTTTCTTTTGATCATGAGTGGTAGTAATTTACACATGGTAATGTTGAAGTTTCTTTTTCTTGAATTATTAGGGTAGAGAAAAAACAAATCTGTCATATCTCAAACTTTACTTTTTATTTGTTATGGTTATCACATTCAAATGAAACTTCAGTTCCAAGGTCTAAAATCCATCTGAAATGATACACTGAAAACCATCGATATTTATCGCAATAGTTGCTTGCAATATCAATAGTTCTCGCAATAGTTTCTTTTAATATCAATAGTTCTCGCAATAGTTTCCTTCAATATCAATAGTTATCACAATAGTGATTTCCAGACAAATAGTCACCCCTACATAAGTGTGTCCTCTGAAGTACTACATGGACAAAGTGTACTGGCATTACCTTGAAGTAGGCCAAGAAGTCTTTGAGAGTCATCTCCCCTTGAACTTCAAAGCGATCCCACAATGTGAACTCGATGTCATAGTACTGCAACAGAGAGAGAGCAGTTGGTCAACTACAAGCAGAGAGCCAGACCCGGTAGGGCAACACATTTAATAGTTCCAGCTGGAAAAAGTTTAAGGCTCTGCTACCCTGCATAATCAACCTCCGAACATTTTCAAAAATAATTTTACATTTACCATACACCTCATGATGATGAGTTGAGGAGAAATGGGGATCAACGTCACATGGAAGATTGTTGCACTTATATAGCGATGTGCATCTACCAAACCACCCACCTTTCCAGTCTTCGGACAGATGCTTATAAAGATTACTCACACAACGGGTGCTTAATACGGTGAACACAGAGTATCAAATATCTAACAATGACTACGGACTATTTGCTATATACCCACCTTGTTCTTGGGGGCTAGGATTGGTTCAGAGAATGCAAAGAATGGCAGCGCCAAGTTTGCAAATCCATTTTTGAACACCTCTACATTCCTATGTCCTTGAGCAAGCTGAAATATCAATAGTATCCTGCATCAAAACTGGTCCATCAGTAGAGCAAACATAATCAAAATAGGCTTGGTTTGTCTTTTATGCAGATTCAGCAATACTTCAGCTATAGGAAGGCATGGTATGAATAATCAAATCTGGACCAGACAATTAGGTGATTGATATTCATTATGAGTAACCATCCACTGGGTATGATATCACGAACCTGATAACCCAATTTATTAAGTCACCTCATACAACAAGCCTAGGTTGCTGGGGACCTATATTAACATGTAATCCCCACAAGGGGCATTTAAAAGCGTCGAAGGGTCCATTTGGATACGATGACATGCATCAACCAAGTCAGTGAAACTGACCACCTGATTCTGTTAGTGGCCTCTTACGACAAGCATGGGCTGCTGAAGACCAACTCAAACTCGGACATAACTTTCATATCACAGATAACTACATACCATCCAACTACAAGAACATGCTTTGCCAATTTTCTACACATTACTCACTTTGTAGAGTTCTAGACCAACAAGACCTACGACCATGGCAGTCGTCGTAGCAATAGCAGGAATGATTCGACCAGCAATCAGCTTGCTCTGAAATAAGTCGTATGAAAATGGTCAGAAGCTTCTCAAGTTATGCATATCAAAATTAAAATCTGATGAATTGGTTGTTTTGTTATTTAATGCTGGACTCAGCAATATTCCACCTATATGATGGCGGTCTGTAAATAATCGAGTCCGGACCAGACAATCCAGTGACTGAAATCATGAGCATCGATCCACACAATTCGGATCGATGACATGCATCAACAAAGTCAGCGAGTCTGACCACCCGATCCTGTTAGTCGCCTTTTACGACAAGCATAGTTGCCTTTTAAGGCAAGCATGGGTTGCTGAAGACCTATTCTACCCCGGATCTTCACGGGTCTAAAAAAACAAAGAGAACCTGAAAGTCATAATTCAGAATAAAACAGTTACTGACATCAAGTATTTTTGTAATTCCCCTGACATACTGCAAAGTAGTTACAGTTATTTCAACACAGAAATAAACTTATCTTGCATATTTAAAATTAATAAAAAAAATCCTATGGCAAAATATAAAATACCAGCAGGCGCCAAACCTATTAATTGAAGCTTTGGATTAATCAGTGGGGTAAAAATGCATAATTTCATGTGAAAAACGTAGACGTAAGTTGTCATGGTCAAAACTAAACAAATTCATCATGTGACACTATTATATGTGTTTCAGAAAGACAATGTGGTGTTTCGAGTTCCGAAGTAATATCGGTTTGTTTGTTTGTTTGTTGTTTAACACCCCACTCAGCAAAATTCCAGCTATATGACGGGCGGTCTGTAAGTAATCAAGTCTGGACCAGACCATCCAGTGATTAATATCATCAGCATCGATCCACGCAATTGGGATACGATGACATGCATCAACCAAGTCAGCGAGCCTGACCACCCGATCCCGTTAGTCTGTAATAACGGTGAACATGGAACTAGCTCTAGTTCTCTATCGATAAAATGACGTGTGTTTCAAGAACAACCAATCAGATACCTCATATCACTGACCATGCTTCATGTCACCGGTACATTAACAATTTGATCTCCATATTTTACTCACATAATAAATTTGTTAAAAAAAAAAGACAAAAATCGGGGGAGGACAGGCGTAACAGCTTAATTTTAAGGCTTCAAATTGTAATAGTTGGTATCTGTGTAACTGTTCCCCCTGTACAATGCACAACAGGTCACCTTGTGTCTGTCTGCTGGAGGGATCTCATAGTTTTCTGCTCTGAGATTGGATGCCGCCACGATGAAGTCCATGTGGAAGTTAGTATCATCATCCTTCTCGAACTCGATGGGTAAGAGATTGATCCCCTTGAAAGATTCGGCAGATGGGAGGGACTTAAGCAACGTCTCAAGCTGTTCTTGGTCTGCATAACAAAAGCGCACCAAATTAGAGTATAAAAAATACCCCAAAGGCTGAAAAAAAGAGAGAAAAGAATTGGTCCTCAGGCAATAGCTTTTGAAAATATCAGGTGGCTTTGTTTTTTGTTTTTTTAAAAATACTAGCACAAACTAGTAAGAATCCAACTCGTATATCGCTGTGTATAAGGCGATTTTTTCATAACTAGAATTAGGAGGCTTTCCGGGTAGGGGGGAGAGACACATCTTATACATAGAAGAGGATTTTTTTTATGTTTTTTCCCCCAACGCAAACACATTACTGTGAGCATGTAACACCAATACCATGTCAGCAAATCTGTTCTGAAGTACGCAAACTCATCATGTAATTACACTGTCTGGTTATAAAAAGAGTTCATCATATTTCTGGATTTTTATTTGTAATCTATTTTATTAATTTTATTCAACATTTCATTCAATATTGTTTAAATTCATTTCGGCATAAATTAGCACTTCCCGCTTATTTTACAAGACAAATACACATGTAATTGTAAATCTTAACCTCTGCGTATGAAACATTGTCCGGCATACAGTACACAAATACCATTGAATTTGTGAATCATCATGTCTGGTGATGTTTTATTACAAATTTAATGTTTTCCTTGACAAAATTTGTAAAAAGCAAAACAAGCACACAAACACCTATATTGCCGCCATGACCAAAACCATGATAAAACACAAGATGCGCAGTAAAATAGTGCGCATAAAAACTTAAAAGGGAAGTAACTTTACATTGGATCGCATTGTTTTTAAGCATTGTAGCATTTCACTTTTGGGGTCGTGTGTTCGAGATGCGGAATATTTAAGGATTTTTTTTTTTAAATGGAAATAAAAACGAAACATGCGTTGGTCTTTCAGATGATGCGGCGGTGCTAAGAATTTTTATTTTTTTAGCCAAATAGAAATGTTTCTAAATCAAAGACAATTTTGTTTTTACCAACAGAGCTTGTAGGCTGATGCTCGTTCCTCCTTCAGAGTTGCTTCGAGGCTCCCCTCTTAAATCATAATCTACCTATTCAAACTTTGTTCATTAGAGTATTTTCTTCACCTTGCATGATTCAACAGTGACTATATTTGTACAATTAATTACCAGTGCTCCTGCACATAATGTCATAAATTATATTTTTGCAAAACAATAAGCTAGTTGCAGGCAATTACTGTTTGAGCCACTATGAGAAATTGGAAATTCTGATCAGTTTCTATGGACTTTCCTGGTATATCCAGGACAATCTTCAAGTGCTAATAGTCTAAGACAATATACTGCATCTGATTGGTCAGTTCAGTTCCTCGAGGTTACAGGTTCAAAGCCCACAAAGAGGAACAGCAAAACTTCCATTGACTGATGACTAGTGTCACAGAATTCTAAAATAGCTTAAAAAATATTTTGGTTTTGCAATTTTCCAAAGTACAAGCATCAACTCACCACATCCCTCAGACTGCCTTGACTGAGCTTCAGCATCTGTAACGTCAATTTTGACACCGCTCCTTGGCTTGAAGTCAGGTACAACCACTTTGGACACTAGGTCCTTGATGGTCTGACGATCTCGCACTTGCTTCAAGCCGTACATCTCAGCTCGAAGATTTGCACAAGCCATGATATAGTCTATATGCATCTCCTGAAACCGTGACCAAGAAAAACTTCAGCTGCGTTTTGAGGACAACAATCCAATTCTTCAGCCAGATAAAAATACAAGTTCACACTGCAGCTCAGCAATCAATCAGTTTGGCACTGACTCTATGTGACACATAAGCTACATAAAGAAGCATGTAAAATAACTAATTTCTACAATTTGTATATTTTCAGAGAAAATTCTTTCAGAATTAATATTATGTAGGACTTCACATCACATATATTCATACACTGATGTTTTGATCTCTTTAAATTTACTCTTTGCTTGTCAACCATGTATTATGCTCAATGCAATAGTTATAAGCAATGTTTTGTTTTTGTTTGTTGTTTAATGCTGCACTCAGCAATATGCCAGCTGTATGACGGCGGTCTGTAAATAATCGAGTCTGGACCAGACAATCCAGTGACTGACAACATGAGCATCGATCCACGCAATTGGGATCGATGACATGCATCAACCAAGTCAGCGAGCCTGACCACCCGATCCCGTTAGTCGTCTCTTACGACAAGCACAGTCGCCTTTTATCGCAAGCATGGGTTGCTGAAGACCTATTTTACCCCGGATCTTCACGGGCCTATACAAGCAAAGTATTAACAAACATGACATGACACTCACATTTTCTGTATCAAACTTCAGCGGATGCGGACACCTCTTGTGACCAGACCAGAACAGGGCTCCCGAACTTGTAAGCTGAAAATATCATTTGCCATTATTGTTACGTTAGACAGCTTGTACAATTACAATTATCAGAAATGCTTTTATTGTTTTTGATAACAAGAAGACAAAGTCATTAACATTCCCTGTTATGGCAAATATTTGTCATGAATATGTCAACAAGTTACACTGACTGCATGTCAAATGTAATGGTATTTGTCGGGTAATTGTAATATGAGAAAAAATTCAGAAAACATTTCCAGTCTAGATCTAAGTCAAAGTTGCCATGGAAACTCAAAAAAATAATTTTGTCCTAACCAATCAAAAGGAACCAGTTCACCACTAGGCCTTGTGCAGTTTTCAAGATCTGCACTACCCCAATTTTCAGTCTAAGTCAAAGTTGTTGCCATGGAAACTTGAGACAAACTATATTTGTATGAACAGAAATACTCCAGCTATGTACCAGGGATGGAAATTAACTCAAAAACCATACAAGCCGACAGGGATAGTGGGATTTTATTTCTGCTAGCCCTGCAAAAGATTACTAGTCCTCATAAAATAAGAAGACATTCAAATTTCAGTATTCAAAGACTCTAAAGTATTGGGCCAATATCTAACATGGCAAGGGGATTTATATATAATGTACAACATATGTCAAAAAACAAGTAGAACTATATTTCTATTAGCCAGAGGTAATTTCTACTAGGCTTGAGCCTACAGCCAAGCATTAATTTTGATCTTGTTTACCAGCCTGCAAATGTTCGACCACCCAATCCCTGCACTAGTAGGGTCTTACAACAAACATGATGTACTGAGGACCTATTTGACGTAGAAACCCTACAGCTACAGCAAATAAATAATGATTCACATTACATGGGTACACCTGCATGAAAGTGAACTTAGTGCTAAGACTGGAGTATGGGAGTTAACGCTAAGACAGCTTTGTGCAAGTGAACCCAGGTTAGACATTGCCACCACCTGACCTTCAGTTTAGTCTAGCCTTATGACAAGCACAGGACAACTTTTTGTTTCCATGGAAGCATAACAAAAATACAATAAAGTGAGTGAGTGAGTTTGGTTTTAAGCTGCTTTTAGCAATATTCCAGCAATATCACGGCGTGGGGACACCAGAAATGGGCTTCACACATTGTACCCTTGTTGGGAATCGAACTCGGGGCTTCGGCGTGACGATCGAATGCTTTAACCACTAGGCTACCCGACCACCCCCAAATAAAATTTACAACAATTTCTAAATAACAAAAGGCACCAGTGAAGCTGATGAGCAATGCATATACCAAGTTTTGTTGAAATATGCTGTACAGTTTTCAAGTTAAGGCTCGGAATAGGATGGGAACACTGCTGCCATTTCCAAAGGGAACCGAGCCCCAAACAATGTTTCCCTTCACCACCACCTGACCTTCAGTTTCAGTCAAGTCCCGTGACAAGCACAGGAGTGAGTGAGTGAGTGAGTTGGGCTTAACGCCGCTTTTAACAACATCCCAGCTATATCGCGGCATGTCAGCTTAATGTGGGAGGAAAGCCCGAAGTGATACAGGTCTCAGACGTTTACCACTTCGGTGAAACCCACGAGCATGGGTAGGGTGCTGACAAACCTAGAAACATAATCGAGGCGAACCGGGTTTCGAACCCACAATCATAGGTTTCTGGCGTGCCCAAGGGACACAACTCTGCACAGCGAATTGCGGCGCCTTAGACGACTGGGCCACCCGTGCCCCCAACAAGCACAGGAAAACTCGAGGGTAATCAGACTGAACTACTTGGTTGACAGAACCAGGGGCGCAGGTCAATGTTGTAAAACAATAATACTTTGAAACAGGGCTTGATTTATTGAGTTTAGTGTGTTGTGTGAAGCGGACTTAGCTCACCTGATCGGAAGGGAAATTGAACAGCAGCTGTGCAATCTGATTGTAGTAATTCCTCTGAAAGACATTTCGGGCCCATGTGACACAGTCCTCGAGGGAAGCTGGACGCTCATCTACGAGTGCTCTCTTCACTGCATCAAACGTTTCAAACTGTGAAGTAAAGGAAACCACATGAAATACATAACCATCATGAAAGTCTTGGTGATAAAGTAACAGTTAACATTAGAGTGTGTGAGCATGGTTTTACACAATTCTTAGCAATATTCCAGCATTATCGTAGTGCAGGACACAGAAATGGGCTTCATACATTGTATCCAAGTTTGGGAAGCAAACCAGGACTTTCTCCTTGGGAATGCTTTAATCACCAGGCAACCCCAACGCCCCCTTTAAGAGTGAGTGAGTGAGTGAGTGAGTGAGTGAGTGAGTGAGTGAGTGAGTGGGATTTAACACCGCTTTTAACAGTATTCCAGTTACATCGTGGCGTGTCAGCTTCATGTGGGAGGAAAACCTGAAGTGATACAGGTCTCAGACGTTTACCACTGCGGTGAAACCCACGAGCACGGGTACGGTGCTGACAAACCTAGAAACATAATCGGGGCGAACCGGGATTCGAACCCACAATCATAGGTTTCTGGCGTGCCCAAGGGACGCAACTCTGCATAGCTAATCGCGGCGCCTTAGACGACATGGCCACCCGTGCCCCCTTTCAATATTAAGACTATGACACGGACCTCTTGACTTTCATGCTGACGAATGAGACGAGGAACCATTGTCCTGTTTTTTATCAGTGTTTTCAGCAACATGCCTTTATTATTGTACACAACGATGTTATTATATCTTTTTTAATGTCTCATGTTAACAATGTTGTCTTGTTTTTTCAACAAAAGGTAAGTACAAGGAAAGTCTTATTTTTTTGCAATATGCTTCAACAAGGGGACAGACATTGCACGCTTGTGACAGTTGTCCTTGTGTCTTGGGGATGAGAGGTGACCTTTATGCTGTTTGAACAAATACATTTTGCTGCATTTTTATGTAGTCTTACATACTTCAAATGTCTTTTTTATGTGTATAGACATCATATAGTTGTGTTTAACGACGCTTTGAACAGTATTCCAGTTATATCACGGCGTGTCAGCTCGATGTAGGGAAAGCCCGAAGTGATGCAGGTGTCAGATATGCAGTGATGCAGGTGTCACCAATATCCTCCCTTGTGCTCACCTCAATCATTATTATGCATTTATCTTTCCTACTAGCTGCAAATTTCCAAAATCATGACATGGAAAGAAACAATATTCTTCTCTTCCTTTTTATCAACATTCTTTTCATCCCAGTAGACATGCTACATGTTCACAGACATGTGACTATTTAAATTCTGGTTTTCTATAAGACAAATTTCTTTTCTCTGGCAACTTACAGACTGGTATCCTGGTGTTTTGAGAGTCTTTTCTGTAAACTTGGGATCTGTAACATACTGTTGGGCACTCTCCATTGGCTGCTTGAACATGCCTTCAAAATCCTCACGGGCCCACTGCAAAAATCACACATTTGTCTCAAACAAGCGCACCTAGCACAATATTCAACATGTTCAAGTGGTCAGGAAAACAAATCGAGTCTGGATCTGACAATCCAATGATTGGCATCATGAGCATCAATCTATGTAATTGGAAACAAAGACATGCATCAACCAAGTCAACAAGCCTGACCACCCGATCCCGAACAAGCATTTCTTGCTGAAGACCAATTCTGACACCAAATCTTCACGGGGTCACAGTACAAGTATGAGCTCTTGAGGAGCACCATTGTTTTTATGACCCAACCCCTGGAATATCAAATTTCTAAGTGATATAATTCAATCCCAAAGCTGTGATAACTCTACAAAATGAAAATAATTTACAACAATTATCTTAACATATTACAACATTGTACAGAAAGCTTGACAATGTCCTGCTTGTGTATCACCATACTAGGCAAAATTCCAGCTTCACAGCGGAAAATAATCTAGACTGCACAAAACAAACCAGAGGCTGATATTATAAACAACATCCAACGTTGTCGGGAGTAAAGTGATGCAAAATCAAGCAAGTCGCAGAGACTTACCACCCAATCAATGTATTTCATATATATATTTGTTTGTTATTTAACGCCGCACTCAGCAATATCACAGCTATGACAGCGGTCTGTAAATTATCAAGTCTGCACCAGACAATCCAGTGATTGATATCATGAGCATCGATCCACGCAATTGGGATTGATGACATGCATCAATCAAGTCAGCGAGCCTGACCACCCGATCCCGTTAGTTGCCTCTTACGCCAAGCATGGTTTGCTGAAGATCTATTGTACCCCGAATTAATATACATGTAATGTTTTAAGTGAACATACCTGAAGAGTGTGTTCTATGGCATTGGGGAAGTTCTTTAGAGTACAGATGGGTATAGACCTCTCTGGTGGATCTTGGGATGAGGAGTAGGATTCTGTTACACCAGGAATGACGACCTGCAACAAATACATCGCATTGTCAGCATCAGCTGAAGCCCCCATGTCGCCATGACAACCATATAATGTTCAGTCAGCATCTTTAGCCACAAGTCCGAAGAATGAGTATAATAAGAGTCCACATACCAACACTAAAATCCTCCAAAATATGATGCAAGAGACAATTTGCTTTAGTAGACTCAAATGGTTTGGGCATAGACAGCATGTTTACAAATTAACTGGACAGCATCACCGCTTGTGAAGTACTGTACAAACCAAATGATTTTGAAAGTACTAGCACTATTTAGGTAAGAGTGAGTGAATAGTAGGGCTGTAATGATTCATTGAGACCTACAATATCATCGATACTTAGGTACAGACGATACTTGAATCATCTGTTTGTGAATCATGATACGACAAAAATAGAACAGGTACCTCTCATAATGGCAGAAGTAGCATAGAGCAAATTTTAAGCAACTCTAGTCAATACAGTAAATTTATCCGACCTGACTGGAAATAATATGTGCATCTGTCAATTGACATGTCACTGCATCCTATGCCACTGAATACATATCCCGAGGCAAGGGAGTTTTACTGACTGTAAAAGTACAGTTTCCACCCTTGCCGAAATGTTCCTATGTCACTCCTATTGACAAATCGGATTCCACCTCATATAACTTGCATTTGCTTCAAACAAAATGGCAGTGCACTGGCGAGAAGATGCGATCATTAATCAAAATCTATATTGTACTAAAATGGGTCTTACTTCACAAAGTGCATCAAATACTGTGAGGATCTTGCTTAAAAACACGAAAAGACTTCGAAAATATCTGTTGATGCTGAATTGACTACACAAGCTTTGCAAATCCTGCAATCGACCGAAATCTGCAGGGCAGTTTACGAACCGGATGTCGATTTCGTTACGCGATTATGATTGTACTATGCATAGACTCGTTAGTCCAGCCAACCTGTAACTCAATAATTCCAGCAAAGTTTGGCAAGGGTGGAAACTGGACTTTTTAACTCCCTTGCCTCAGGAAGATGACTTTACATTATGTAATAATACAAAACAGTGGTCGAAAGTATGAAGAAAGTCAAGAAACTATCTACACCATCAGGACATACTATCAGCCAAGGCCCATTTGTAAACACCCAACAATGCTTAACCAAAAATTTGATGCTTAAATAAATTGAACAGAATTAGAACTTGACGTTAATGTCAATACAGCACCACTATTTGGCAGCTGTCGCTCAATGCCTACCTGGACATTAGCCTTTGTTCCCAGTGTCCCTGACTCTAACAGGGGCTTGCTGTAGTACACACACCGTCTATCCATGTACATTCCTGGAAGTGGGACATTCAATAAATTAGAACATTTATGACATCATTGAGTGAGTGAGTTTGGTTTAACAGTATTCCAGTTATATCGCGGCGTGTCAGCTTAATGTGGGAGGAAAGCTCGAAGTGATGCAGGTCTCAGACGTTTACCACTTCGGTGAAACCCATGAGCACGGGTATGGTGCTGACAAACCTAGAAACATAATCGGGGCGAACCGGGATTCGAACCCACAATCATAGGTTTCTGGCGTGCCCAAAGGACGCAACTCTGCACAGCGAATCGCTGCGCCTTAGACGACTGGGCCACCCGTGCCCCCTTATGACATCAGCCAACTTATCCTGATGCAACACAGCACAATTTCCATCTCAGGAACCAAAACATGCCTCACCACTAGGGGGAGCTCTCCACCAGCTTACCCCAAAGTTACCTCCCTTCCAGCCCTCACTTTCCTTCACATGCAGCTTGTAGCATAGCACATATGGTGGGGAGTTGGTTTTGATATCCTTTACAATCATACAAAATGTGTGGTGTGTCTTTTGAGTACTGAAGCATACATATGAGAGGCTCATTTGCCAGCAATACCATACTTGTATGGAGAGGATATGCCCATTTTCACCCATGCAAGTTTTAGCATTACTTGCATGAACAAATTCAAACAATCTCAATTCAATATATCTGTCAGGTTTGGAGAAATCAAACACTTTCAATTTGCACATGATGAAGTGAGCATCACCACTTGAAGCATCCTGAACCTTCTACTGGTCGTATCATTCATACTTGGTCCAAGCTTTTTCAGACTCGTTCTATTTTTCATGCAAAAACACTGGTAGAGATCCAAGTTAGAGGGCTAGGCTCTACAATAGCTGCTGTACCTGGCCCTAGTGTTGAGGGACTTGTTACAAAGATCCAGGACAAGAGTCGGTGAGTATGGTTTTACACTGCTGTTAACAAAACTCCGGAAATACCCAACGGTGACACCAGAAATGGGCTTCATGTTGTACCCATGTCAGGAATTGAACCATGCCTTCATCTCGAGGAACAAATGCTTTAACATTTAGATTTAGACTACCCCATCCAACCATGAGTGAGTGAGTGAGTGAGTTGGGTTTAATGCCGCTTTAAACAGTATTCCAGCTATATCACGGCATGTCAGCTCAATGTGGGAGGAAAGCCCGAAGTGATGCAGGTCTCAGACGTTTACCACTCCGGTGAAACCCACGAGCACGGGTATGGTGCTGACAACCCTAGAAACATAATCGGGGCGAACCGGGATTCAAACAGACAATCATAGGTTTCTGGCGTGCCCAAGTGACACAACTCTGCACAGCGAATCGCGGCGCCTTTTTAGACAACACGGCCACCAATGCCCCCCCCATCGCACCATGACAAGAGCAGACTTCAAAACAAACATATATGTCTGTTGGTCCGAGACAAGTTAAAATCAAGGAATTACATTTACCATAAGGGAGAAGGCAATATTGCAGATCACTTTTCAAAACTAAAGAAAAGACATATATATTTCTAACACTGAAGAGAGTGGGTGCATGTAGTGTTATTCCGCTGTCTCGGCAATATTCCAGAAAAACAAGGCTTCCAATAATGAGCCTCCTGATGAGATGCTACTCACTTGCGTCTACATTATCCAGGGCATTGGTGACGCCATCCAGTTTTTCGAAGAATTCATCTGTGTACACATTCTCTGTTTCTGGTCCCACCCGATCCTCTCTGGACTCAATGTTGAAACTGGGGTTCATCTGCTTCACAGCATTAGCTGCAGTCGAGGCCTTGGTTTTCTGAAACATTTTTTGTAATTCTTGCTATCATGGCAACAGAGTGAACAAGGATCGAGCATCACTGCAACAGAAAAAGTGGCTCTATCATGTCTGTTTCTGCTAACAGAAGTCATTCACTTTGAACATTTTTAGCACATTTTCTTTGTCATAGATGGCACGATGTTGTTTGGTAGGTCAGTTTAGCAGGCATGAAACTGCTACACATGTTAAAAATGCAGGATGTTATCTATATTTTCAGTGACATACTTGTACTGGAGAAATAAACACAAGTGGAATTTGTTTATCGTTGAATAAAACACTGCAGGAAGAATTTGTCATGAGGGATGCAGCCGCAAGTGGTTTATTCTCCCTGCAGTGCTTTACTCTAACTTGTCGTTATTTCTTAAGGTGGGGGTGGGATGTAAGTTTGGTATTCTCACAATTTTCCTGTCGCTTATGCGCACCTTTTCTCCCTCTTTTGGGTGTGATCGTTTAGCCATTGTGTTCATCTGCGCTATCTAGCTACATCTATTGGGAACAACTCACTAGACACTTTTGTCTCAAACATAACATCATCCAATTTATGACGTCATCAATTTGCGAGTGCATGGTCGAATCTCCAGAAATGACGACATGATAGAACAATGTTTTACCATGAATTAAAACACATCTGTGACGTCATTCTATTGTTTAAACACTCCATTATTTTTCAGGAATGGAGAGTTGCTTGTCAACTGTTCATTATCTTGAAGCAGCATTTGAATTTTTCAAATATTTTCAACTACAGAATATTTTGTCAAAGTGTAAAAGTAGGGATGAGTTTTAAGTAGGGATGAGTTTTAAGTAGGGGAATATCCTCGTAACTCTCCATTCCTTAAAAATAATGGGCCTCTGCTCCATTATTTTTAAGGAATAGAGAGTTACTCGGACATTCCCTTCTACATAAACCTTTGCGATTTATCACGTAGCTATCTTATAGTGTATCAAAAGCATCAGAGGTGGCTTCGTATCATTTAGAGGAGTTAGCATTTGCCTCAGACAAACTGCCTTCAATTAAATACAATTCAAAACGGAGCCATTGTACAAATAAAATAACTGTTAGGGGCTATTATTTGTGTGTACATTCACTATTTTGTTATGGCATGTATCACAAAAGTGACCATTGACATAACAAAATCCACAGCAGATTCTCATCTATGAACATCATAGAAACTAGGCTTAAGTGTATTGGCAGTCCCAGAAAGTTTATTTACAATTCCAACTCCATCCCAGGCTGCTTTGTTAACGCAGCACTCAGCAATATTTCAGCTACATGACGGCGTCCTGAAAACAATCAAGACTGGACCAGACAATCTAGTGATTGACGAGCAGCAACTCGGGATATGCCGTAGATCCCCATCGTGTTCCCAACTGATTTCTGTCCATACCTGTACATCCCAGGGTCTGAAGAGAAACTGTCTGTTGAGGTTGGACTTCTCGATGGTGTCCATGTCTGTGACAATCACCTTCCCCTTACGACATCCCAAACCAACCATTGCAAAGTTCTTGAGCATCTCACAGCCAATAGCTCCTGCTCCAACCTGGAAACAACCATGATGAGGCATACTGAACACTACTGGAAACTTCACAATTCATCAGCAGGAACGTGACAACACACAATGGACAAACAGGCCAGGATACTCACGCGAGCTAGAAATCCAAAACATTTCATTTTCCGTATTTGACGTAATATGCACCCCGCTCTAATAAGCGCCCACGGCGATATTTGTTGATATATTGGCTTGTGAACATGATTGATCAATGTACACAAGACTTATTTATTCCTGTATAATACACACTCGTGTGTTATATGCACCCTTTATTATGAGCAATTAAATTCTGGAAAATATATCTGTCGTGTATAATACTTTTCTTTTGTATCATTTCAGGCTGTCGATCTTTCAACGATCTTTCATTTACGATCTTTCAACTTTTTTTTCTTTTTTCTCTCACTAAAGATATATTCTAATAAGAGCCCCTATTTCTAATTTTGAGAACGCCCAAGGCGCTTATTACGTTGAATACGGTATTTCAGATTGAGAAGTCTACACTAATGATCAATCACAAAGAACTCAGAGTATCTCTTACAAAAACATTAGAAAGAATATTACTGAAATAAAATTAGAGTAAGTTTCAGTGACTCTCAACAGGAATTCTTCCTTCAAGCTTGGCATGAGTCTAGTTCTCCTGGCAGAAGTCGATATGCCAAGCAAGACCCAGGAAGTAAAAACACAAACCTAAACCAGAGAAAAAATTGGTCTGACCTACTGAGTAAGGGTGCGAGGTAATACCGGTATATTGGTAAATTGAGGTTTATTCTTTCCACGATACGTATCACAATAAATTTTTACATGTTCGATTTATCGGGCGATTTCAAATTGGGATTTTTATCATGTGTTTAAAGTTATATACTTGCCAAATGCCTTCACTGCCCAGAAGCGAGCATCCGGGGCCCCAAGATGGCTGCGTATTTTTTGAATTAGTAAATGAGTGAGTGAGTATGGTTTTACGCCGCTTTTAGCAATATTCCAGCAATATCACGGCGGGGGACACCAGAAATGGGCTTCACACATTGTACCCATGTCGGGATTCGAACCCGGGTCTTCGGCGTGACGAACGAACGCTTTAACCACTAGGCTACCCGACCGCCCCTTGAATTAGTAAAACATTATATTGTCCCAGCATCTTGTTTTGTTCCATTTATGAACCTCAGTTCACACCTTAATGTAACAGATTGCTACGGAATTAAAATTTAGAATGACACAATATATATCTTGATACGTATCGCAATGCGTCCTAGTGCATTGCAAAATATTGTGATACACTTTAAACCTCCAATACCCATCCCTTCACCTGAGCAAGTTTTTAAGACTACTTACCAAGAAGTACCTGAGATCACCGATCTTCTTCTGAAATTCTTCTCCAAACACAACCCTCTGACCATCATAGCGTGTGTCCCTCTGTAAGACAGAATTGTAAAATAAACTTCAACCTCTGACCTTCAAATGGAAAATATTAAATAACTCAAGATTCTAAAATATCACTGTTCATGCAAAACATTTACAAGTCAGAGACAGTGTTCTCAGCCTCAGTCAGCAATATATGGCCAGAAAAAATAAAGCTTCTCAGCGATTTCAGATTTGAAAAATGGCAAGGTGACCAGATTCTTTCTCTTCTTTATTTTTTTGTAATCACATGGTCAACATCATGTTTGCCTGGACGAGGACAGAAAAGTCACCAGCCATGGGCAGGCAGGCAGCTATTTCGGACACTGAATGCCTTAATACTTTTTGAGAAATCCACAAACTGTTTCCGTGATTCTTTATTTTATCTCTTGACCATGACCCAAAGAATTTCCCAAAGGCCAATCAGAAGAAGCCAAAGGAAGAACAACTTCTGCTGTCAATAATCTTTGCCCAGTAGACATTAGAAAGATCACCGGTGGTGGCAGCCTAACATTTCAAGAAACACAAAAGCAGTTCCACTTCATGGGGCTGATTACACAAAAAGTAAATGTTTCTGACCCCACTGCCATCGTTTCAGTGGTTGGTTGGTTGGTTGGTTGGTTGGTTGGTTGGTTGGTTGGTTTGTTTGTTGTTTAACGCTGCACACAGCAATATTCCAGCTATATGACGGTGGTCTGTAAATAATGGAGTCTGGACCAGACAATCCAGTGATTGACATCATAAGCATCGATCCACGCAATTGGGATACGATGACATGCATCAACCAAGTCAGCGAGCCTGACCACCCGATCCCGTTAGTCGCCTTTAACAACAAGCAAAGTCACCTTTTACGGCAAGCATGGGTTGCTGAAGACCTTTTCTACCCCGGAATCTTCACGGGTCTCGTTTCAGTGGATGCTGGTTGCTCTGAAATGTCACAAAGAATCTCTCGACTTACAGGTTTGCATTCCTCCTCTGTCAGGACACTTCTGTCTTCAGGCAGACACTCAAGGGCATCAAAGTACATGTACTGGAATACAGGGCTGAACTTCCCACTGCACGCCTGAAACAACCAATTGCTTGCATACAGAAACAAATACATCACAGCAGACTTAAACAAGAGTCATCATAAAGATAAATGCCCCCGCCCTAATAAATTTGAAAGAACAAATCATTTGACTGTTACTTTTAGTCACGCTTGATGAGAGAATTTCTATCTAATCTGTCTGTCAATACAAGAGTAGTTATTGAGCTATCGAAACAATACCATGGAATTGGGATTTGGAACTTAGTATTTCTATGTCAGGTCCACACCAATATTGAACAGAGTCAAAGTGAAAGTCAAACCATGCAAATCGAAAAAAAATATAAATACCAAAAATCCCTAAATAGCAAAAGGCACCAGTTTACAACCTGGTCTTTGTGTGCAAAGTGTCATGAAAGTATACCTATTGCTTATAGAGATATGGGCCGGACAAACACACCATTATGAACAGAGGCAAGTCAAACTTGTTGCCATGGAAACAGGAATTTGTTATATTTTCTTAAAATCCTAAAATAGCAAAAGGCACCACTTCATCCCCTGATTAATACATGTTGGATGAAAAATGATGAATAGTTTTTTAGTTCTGCTCCAGAAACGACACCTGCTTCCGTTTCTGCTAAGTCTAAGTCAAAATCAATATTTTGAAAACTACCTTTGTAGCAAAAGGCCCTATTACAAATTACAAATTTGTCTCCAACATACAAGTGAAAGAGTGGTGACCTAAACCAAATGAGACCGCACTGTGCCCTTGAATGTGGATTCTGTCATGGAGAAATCATGAGAATCTGTGGATTCCGGAACACATCAAATCTAGAGGTCAGGGCTGGCTCATTATTCTACTTCTGGAATCAAACAATTCTCATGATTTCTGCAGCTTAAACCAAGTTATGGTCGATATATAATTTCTCTACAATCCTGCATTATGACCTACAGTTGCATCAGTTTTACTTGGCCAGAATGAATCGCCAGGGGATTCCTGGCTCAGAATCGGCAGCAACAACAACAGCCTGACGTTTTCATTTGGGTATAAAAGAGGTAAACTAGACAAATCCTACCTTCATGATTTCTTGAGCCGTGACGCCACCAATCATTGCAGCCATTGGGCACACATCTCCCTGACATTCCTCGGCAAACTCCTTCACAAGTTTCTCATCAAACTCATCAACCTTTGCAGCGGATTTGGAGTTGACCTCTTTGAACACCGCCAGGAAGGCATCTGCATCAGCCTACAGAGAGGAGAACCTTATTGTATCAGGACAACCTAGGTGAACAAACTGGCAACGCTTCTTTTACCCACGCTCTTTTGTCATTACAACATATCCCACACTCTTTTGTCATTACAACATATCCCACACTCTTTTGTCATTACAACATATCCCACGCTCTTTTGTCATAAAAACATATCCCACACTCTTTTGTCATTACAACATATCCCACACTCTTTTGTCATTACAACATATCCCACGCTCTTTTGTCATAAAAACATATCCCACACTCTTTTGTCATTACAACATATCCCACACTCTTTTGTCATAAAAACATATCCCACACTCTTTTGTCATTACAACATATCCCACGCTCTTTTGTCATTACAACATATCCCAAGCTCTTTTGTCATTACAACATATCCCACACTCTTTTGTCATAAAAACATATCCCACACTCTTTTGTCACTATGTCAGTATATACCACATGCTGTATTTGTCAGAATATACCATATGCTATATTTGTCAGAATATACCACATGCTGTATTTGTCAGAATATACCACATGCTGTATTTGTCAGAACATACCACATGCTATATTTGTCAGAACATACCACATGCTGTATTTGTCAGAATATACCACATGCTATATTTATCAGTATATACCACATGCTGTATTTATCAGATATACCACATGCTGTATTTGTCAGTATATACCACATGCTGTATTTGTCAGAATATACCACATGCTGTATTTGTCAGTATATACCACATACTGTATTTGTCAGTATATACCACATGCAGTATTTGTCAGTATATACCACATGCTATATTTGTCAGTATATACCACATGCTGTATTTGTCAGTATATACCACATGCTGTATTTGTCAGTATATACCACATGCTGTATTTGTCAGTATATACCACATGCTGTATTTGTCAGTATATACCACATGATGTATTTGTAAGTATATACCACATGCTATATTTGTCAGTATATACCACATGCTGTATCGGTCTGGTTCTCTACCTTGTTCCTTGGTGCTGGCAATGCCCCCTTCTGTTTGACAAACTCGTGCAATGCTTGATAAGCTATGTGAAGCTGTCCAGGTCGATCAAACTTGGCGAAATCTGTAGTCAAACACTCAGGAGCTTCCAAGGCCGCTTTGATCGATTTCTGCAGTAGAAGTGAAATACATAAATACTTTCCGTGCTGTCATGGATAACAATGAAACAATATTATCCTGCACAAAGTGACTGAGTGAGTGAGTGAGTATGGTTTTACGCCGCTTTTAGTAATATTCCAGCAATATCACGGCGGGGGACACCAGAAATGGGCTTCACACATTGTACTCATGTCGGGAATCGAACCTGCGTCTTCGGCGTGACGAGCGAACGCTTTAACCACTAGGCTACCCGACCACCCCTATCCTGCACTAAGGGGCAGGGAAACTTAACTGTAGTAATGGCCGGTGTTCAAGAGTAAAACTATAGTTTACATTAAGTATTAACTATTCAGTAACTATACCGTAGTTCACAAGTTACATGTTTTAGATACAACCAGACCAATCTATTTTCTCGAGCCTAGCTTACAAAGGTCAAAACATGATGTTTGCAATATTTTTACATGGTTTTCTAAACTATATTTTCAAAACTACTATTTCAAGATTTCTTGAAGGGAATTAACCTCATATCAACTGTGATAACATTTATCAGAATTTGTCTGTTTTGAAACACCATAAGTTAAATGGGCCAGGCTTTAGAAACAAAACAATGGCTACCACATCCTCCTAAACAGTACTTACAAAGTTCAGAGTCTTTGGCAATTTAACCTTTGTCACCACTCCTCCTCGTACATAGTCGGACAGGCCGCTTGTGTCACCAATACTGAATGTGTAGGGCCCTGAAATAGGATACAAGGAACTTGTACTACAAACCACCACTACCACAAGAAAAAAGTATAAAAAAATAGTTGGTTGGTTGGTTGGTTGTTTTACGCCGCACTCAGCAATATTCCAGCTATATGACGGAGCTCTGTAAATAATCGAGTCTGGACCAGACAATCCAGTGATTAATATCATGAGCATTGATCCACGCAATTGGGATCAATGACATTCATCAACCAAGTCAGCGAGCCTGACCACCCGATCCTGTTAGTCGCCTTTTACGACAAGCATTGTCACCTTTTACGGCAAGCATGGGTTGCTGAAGACCTATTCTACCCCGGATCTTCACGGGTAATTAAACAAATAGACTGTATACTACAACTATATTCACATATTTGCTGTATAGGAACTCTGTACCAGTCAACATCTCTAGATTGGCTTATTATTTGTATTACTGAAGAAATATTATTTTAGTTGCAAATTTATAACAAATATAAGTGAGTGAGATGGGTTTAACGCCGCTTTTAACAGTATTCCAGTTATATCACAGCGTGTCAGCTTGGTGTGGGAGGAAAGCCCGAAGTGATGCAGGTCTCAGACGTTAAATACATCGGTGAAACCCATGAGCACGGGCTTGGTGCTGACAAACCTAGAAATATAATCAAGGCGAACTGGGATTTGAACCCACAATTATAGGTTTCTGGCGTGCCCAAGGGATGCAACTCTGCACAGCAAATTGCGGCAGCTTAGACGACTGGGCCACCCGTGCCCCCATAACAAATATGCAACATTTGAGACGTTGGCAGCTACGCAACATGTAATGCCCCTGAAACCCACAATTAGCAGTTTTAGTGGTCAATTTAACCCCACATTATGAGGTGAGGTGAAATGGGGTTTAACATCGCGTCCAAGATTATTGCACTTATATAGCGACGTGCATGTACGTGTGTGTGTGTGTGTGGCTGCTTGTTTCAGTCCGGACTGATGCCGTTTTATAGTGCTAGCTCTCTGAGTTACCATGCCGCAGTTTAACATGAATACCCCACTCAGACACAGTATACTGACTCCCAGCCGACCAGTCCTTGTTATAGCCCCTTAATGCCGAGCGCCAGACAGGGTAACAACAAGTACCATCTTTTAACGTCTTTTGGTATGACGCGGCAGGGGATCAAACCCCGGACCTTCCGCTCTCCGGGCAGACACTCTACCACTAGACCACAGAGGCAGTCCCCACATTATGACAAGAGACAGACAGTCGCCTTACCTAACACCTTGATTTTTCTCGGTTCACATTCATTGAGTTCAGTCATGCCCTGGACTTCATGGAATGTGACGTGGTCTCCGTCCTCAAAGCCATGCCGAGTCTCGTCAACACTAGCCACAATACCATCTACTTCCTGCAACATAGGAATACATGTACATGCAAAGAGATGGCAACACATGCAAGGTTTTGGTTTGTTTTGGTTTGGTTTGGTTTGGTTTGTTGTTCCAGCTATATGACGGCGCTCTGTAAATAATCCAGTCTGGACCAGACAATCCAGTGATTGACAACATGAGCATCTATCCACGCAATTGGGATTGATGACATGCATCAACCAAGTCACCGAGCCTGACCACCCGATGCCTTTTATGGCAAGCATGGTTTGCTGAAGACCTATTCTGCCCCAGATCTTCACAGGCCATGGAAGGAACAGGATCATCATCAGAACTACACATAGTTTTGTCTCTGTATGGCATGTTTCATCTACAAATATTTAACAGTTTTGGAGATCAACTCGGGAAACAATCACTACCCTCATTTTCAGTAAAGTCCAACTTGTCGTAATGAAAACATAAAAAAAATTAAAATAATTTTATTTGTTGTTTTACGCCGCACTCAGCAATATTCCAGCTATATGACAGAGGTCTGTGTAAATAATCGAGCCTGGACCAGACAATCAAATGATTCATATCATGAGCATCAATCCATGCAATTGGGATTGATGACATGCATCAACCAAGTCAGCGAGCCTGACCACCCAATCCTGTTAGTCGGCTCTTATGACAAGCATAGTCGCTTTTAACGGCAAGCATGGGTTACTGAAGACCTATTCTACCCCGGATCTTCACGGGTCAAATAATTTTGTAAAGTTCTTACTTTGTTAAATTTAATAACACTGCATTCAATGCAATACTGTAAAACCAAACGTTATTACACACTGAGGAACTATTAATTCTACTATCAGAATTTTACTGACATTTGCCCTTGGTGGAAACCGTAATAGCACAGAATAATCTGGACCTGCTCAGAGGCTGATATTCGGCACCAAGTCTCTGAGCAGGTCTCGATAAATCCCTGCTATTATGTTTCCAAGAGGGGTACATTCCTACATTTTGGGGACATTCCAGTTTTAAGCACAACACATGCCATACCTTAGTGACAGATGCCACCATAGTGCTGTTTGGCTGTTCTCCATCTACGTCAGCAACAACAAACCCTTCACCAAAGTCACAGAAGATCTGACTGCAATGGAAACGTATCGACATGTTACATTTACCTGACCAGCATAAGTAAAGGGTACTTGAGGTTTCGCGATGCACAAGGCCGTCTTGCGATACGTATCACGATATATTAGGTATATGTATATATTTTGAATTTAGAAAAATCTGAAACATCAGTGTATGGATGGGAGTTCACAAATAGAACAAACAAGAGTCATCAGAAAGATGACATATCCCCCCGGCAGCTGTCTGTAAAGTAACCACTAGTAAATGTGCAATTCTGTATGTAATGAGTCAACAGTTGAATGTTCTTTTAGAAGCATACATTGTTTACCCACTGAATGGTTTTCGAATTCTTAACTCTAACCAAGGTATTCAACAAGTTACATGAGTGAGTGTGTGAAAGGTGTTTTCTGTCAAAGCAACATTCCAGTCACATCATGTCTGCCTCGATATAATCAAATCTGGCCCTGGAAATCACTGAGTTGTGATCAAGCACTGGATCCAGCCGAGTTTAATCAGCTCTTCGTCTTACAACAAGCACAGGATTCAAAAGCAGGGATATATCAAGGATTTAAAACCAAGCGCTTTTGGCAGGTAAATTATAAAAAACACACACATAATTTTGTTCAAAATTAGCATTTTTTAAAGGTTTGAGGTGTTCTAACATTGCAATAATCTAAACACAAGCATCAAAGCCTCTTCCTCTTCATTGGTCCGAGACCCACTTGCACAAAGCGATCGTAGAGTTACGATCATCGTAGCACTACGATCACTTTGTGCAAGTAGGACCTGTTATCAGTCATATACAGTTACCGCTACAAAGCCATAACATCAGTTGTAAGTTTAATAAATTAGTTCTGGAGTCTTCAGTTGCTGTATACGGCATCAGCCCGCCCAATATTTTTCTGCTAACCTAATATGACACTGTTTACGGCAACTAAAGACACCATAACAAATTTATTATGCCGAAAAGTTTACATTCTCTGGTATCTATATGGCACGTGTCATGTCAAAATGAAAACTTGACACTTACAACCGCACATTGATGTCAAGGGTCAAAGGAAGACTACTCTTCAAACCTTAGAGGCCAAACCTTGTTGACAATTTTAACTATAATCTTTATTTATAAAGTCACGAACGTGATCTAAAAAACAGATTATTGTCCTTGCACATCACAATTAAAAATAGTAAAACACAAAACAGTGTCAAAATAGTGAATTTCGGTACCAGAATTTTCATGTGAAATATGTGAGATAGGTGTTGGAAAACCCAAGATGGCTTTACTAGCGGTATACGGGCTCATGTGGGGTCAGTAGTTCTGCTCTCTGATTGGTCAATCTCACTTTGAGGCATAATAACATGAACTGGAACAGTTATAATTCCAATTTGGGAAGTTTTACGGACATGTCGTCCTGCTACAGTTATATCCCATAAAATGAACATCTCAAAACATTAATTCCACTTCCCCATTACAGCTAAAACACTAACTTACCCAAACAATCCTCTTGTGTCTGCCACAATGAACTTGATGTCCTTTGAGTGACAGAACTCTCCAATACGGATTTGTTCATCTTGTGTAGAGTTTGTCAAACAGATAACCTGAAAGGAAAGGGAAAGTACTCTAATAACCATTTTCCATTCATTAAAGTACAGTCAAGTCTCGTTAATACGACAATCAGCTTTATCAGACGCTAATGATGGGAACCGATTAAATCAGTGCTATTTGGACCCGTTAATCCAACAGTCTCACACTCCGACTCCGACACACCTAATTTGCAACGAATTACCGAAATCAGGAAGTCGACCTTAGACACTTAGAAAGCAGCTTTCTTAAGCTTTAGGTACCAGTTTCAAAGTTGCGACTTCCATTCCAGACTATGCTTTTTAAAGTATTTTGAATAAGTCATACAGTCCGTAACCATGGTAACAGTTGTTTTGTGTTAAACCTTAGAGGTTGATGATTAGAAAACATATTCCGCCAACAATGTAACATAACAATATGAAAATGAATATTTATTTTATATTTTGTATTACGTGTTTGAGTCCTTATATCTATCGTGTAGTTGTCCGATTTTCGATCACGAACGTTGATACTACTTAATTTTGTTTTTCCGACATACTCGTCAATCCGACATAATCATATGCGACCATCGATGTCGGATTAACGGGACTTAACTGTATGCACATGTTATTCTTGGATACATATAGGATATTTGTTTTTTCTTGTACAATAACAATTTATCTCATGTGACCAAGTGACGAAGTTGATATTTATATCAGTGGTCCTAAAGGTTGCTGCTGTAGTAATACTCTTATCTGAATCACGGGACCAGATAATCTGTAACTTTCTGCATTAGGGTTTTCCCATTGACCCTTTCAATTTCATGCTTAATTTCAATCACTGGTGTCGTAGAGCATCTGCTAGAAAATGTTCTACCGTCTCCGAAACAACTGCCTGCCCAGCTGCCCGTGGCTGGCAACGTTTCTGACAGGTTGCATGTAATTTTCCTTCACCTGCCTGACTATTTGGCAGATAATTTTAAGCCTACCTATGTATTCACTTTTATTACTACTTGTAGATTCTCAAGTAATTGTTGGCAATATTTCAACTGTATCAAGACATGATTTCTGTCTCATTTTTGCAAATTTTCAATAATAATAATGTCTGAAAGTGGGCAGGTAACGTTGAAGATGGGCAGGCTACACTTATGTGTAACCTGCCCGACTGTCTTGTTGGTTTTAAAATTATTTCAAACACTGGTTCTACACATTGCTTAGTTCTCTCACCTGAAACTGTGTGAGGTAATCCTCCGATAGGTCCCCTGTGTAGGCCGAGACAGGAACGTAGCTGTTCAGCTCTGCCAGACGAGGCTGAATCACCTCTGCACGGTTCTTCCCAATGTCTTCCTCACGCAGGAAAAACTGGAATGGAGGGTAGGGTGGTACTGTCGTTACTTTTCAGTTTCTGCATGAAGCCTTTCTCCCTGGGAGTACTACCATATCACTTATACAGGGTGAGGTGAGGTGAGGTGAGGTGAGGTGAGGTGAGGTGAGGTGATATTGGGTTTAACGTCGCGTCCAAGAATATTGCACTTATATAGCGACGTGCATGTACGTGTGTGTGTTTGTGTGGCTGCTTGTACTAGTCCGGACTGATGCCGATTTATAGTGCTAGCTCTCTGAGATACCATGCCGCAGTTTAACATGAATACCCCACTCAGACACAGTATACTGACTCCGAGCCGACCAGTCCTTGTTTTAGCCCCTTAATGCCGAGCGCCAGACAGGGTAACAACAAGTACCATCTTTTAACGTCTTAAGGTATGACGCGGCAGGGGATCTAACCCCGGACCTTCCACTCTACCACTAGACCATGGAGGTGGTCTCACTTATACAGGGAGTAAGTGAGGGAGTTTCGTTAATGCTGCTTTGAACAGTATTTCAGTTATATCACAGTGTCTGCTTGATGTGGGTACATGCAGGACTCTGTGTTATTCATATTTTGCTCTTTTCAATGCCACAGTCAGCAAAATACCAGCGGTCCAGGGGTTGAAAATTTATGGAAAATGTTACTTGACCAAGGGCAAGTATGACCAACATTTTTAAAATTTGGCAATATCGAAGAACATCCTATCAAAAGTACATAAATGATCTGATTATGAAAATGTCAGAGTGCCACTTTTCTCTAACCAAATCTCATTGGAGGTTGGGTAGCCTAGTTGCTAAAGCATTAGCTCGCGTCACGTTGAAGGCCCAGGTTCGTTTCCCCACAGGGTACAATGTGTAAAGCTCATTTCTCGTTTGTTCCGCCAAAATATTGCTAAAAGTGACGTAAAACCAAACTCACTCATGAAGAAAATCACTGCAAATTTATCAAGCAAACATTCAATGTAAGTAACAAAGCTAGCATCTTTCACTAGATGTGACTGAACATACCTGACTAGACAAGTCCATCCATGATGCATTGCCAGTGTCGTGCACAGTGACAGATTTTACACCGCCTAGCACAACATTTTTGGCAATCTCTATGCCCAGACCTCTCATCCCTGCGATAAGGATATTCGAATTGGCCATCCGCCGCATAGCTTCATGTCCAAGGACATACCTGCAACACAATCATCGTCACAACTTAAAGTCTTTATCATACCTGAAACACTCATTGTCACACCTGCAACACAATCATTGTCACACCTGCAACACAATCATCGTCACACCTGCAACACAATCATCGTCACACCTGCAACACAATCATCGCCACAGCAGCAACACAATCATTGTCACACCTGCAACAGTCATCGTCACACCTGAAACACAATCATCATCACACCTGCAACACAATCATCGTCACACCTGAAACACAATCATTGTCACACCTGAAACACAATCACTGTCACACCTGAAACACAATCATTGTCACACCTGCAACACAATCATTGTCACACCTGCAACACAATCATTGTCACACCTGCAACACAATCATTGTCACACCTGCAACACAATCATCGTCACACCTGCAACACAATCATTGTCACACCTGCAACTCAATCATCGTCACACCTGCAACACAATCATTGTCACACCTGCAACACAATCATTGTCACACCTGCAACACAATCATTGTCACACCTGCAACACAATCATCGTCACACCTGCAACACAATCATTGTCACACCTGCAACACAATCATCGTCACACCTGCAACACAATCATCGTCACACCTGCAACACAATCATTGTCACACCTGCAACAGAATCATCGTCACACCTGCAAAAATCATCGTCACAACTGCAAAAATCATCGTCACACCTGCAACACAATCATCGTCACACCTGCAACACAATCATTGTCACACCTGCAACACAATCATCGTCCCACCTACAACACAATCATCGTCACACCTGCAACACAATCATCGTCACACCTGCAACACAATCATCGTCACACCTGCAACACAATCATCGCCACAGCAGCAACACAATCATCGCCACAGCAGCAACACAATCATTGTCACACCTGCAACAGTCATCGTCACACCTGAAACACAATCATCATCACACCTGCAACACAATCATCGTCACACCTGAAACACAATCATTGTCACACCTGAAACACAATCACTGTCACACCTGAAACACAATCATTGTCACACCTGCAACACAATCATTGTCACACCTGCAACACAATCATTGTCACACCTGCAACACAATCATCGTCACACCTGCAAAAATCATCGTCACAACTGCAAAAATCATCGTCACACCTGCAACACAATCATCGTCACACCTGCAACACAATCATCGTCACACCTGCAACACAATCATCGTCCCACCTACAACACAATCATTGTCACACCTGCAACAGAATCATCGTCACACCTGCAAAAATCATCGTCACAACTGCAAAAATCATCGTCACACCTGCAACACAATCATCGTCACACCTGCAACACAATCATTGTCACACCTGCAACAGTCATCGTCACACCTGAAACACAATCATCATCACACCTGAAACACAATCATCGTCACACCTGAAACACAATCATTGTCACACCTGCAAAAAAACATTGTCACACCTGAAACACAATCATTGTCACACCTGAAACACAATCACTGTCACACCTGCAACACAATCATTGTCACACCTGAAACACAATCATCGTCACACCTGCAACACAATCATTGTCACACCTGCAACACAATCATTGTCACACCTGAAACACAATCATTGTCACACCTGCAACACAATCATTGTCACATCTGCAACACAATCATCGTCCCACCTACAACACAATCATTGTCACACCTGCAACACAATCATCGTCACACCTGCAAAAATCATCGTCACAACTGCAAAAATCATCGTCACACCTGCAACACAATCACTGTCACACCTGCAACACAATCATAGTCACACCTGCAACACAATCATTGTCACATCTGCAACACAATCACTGTCACACCTGCAACAATTGTCACACCTGCAACACAATCATCGTCACACCTGCAAAACAATCATCATCACACCTGCAACACAATCATCATCACATCTGTAACACAATCGTCACACCTGCAACACAATCATTATCACACCTGCAACACAATCATCGTCACACCTGCAAAACAATCTGGAAAAACTAGGGCTGGTTATCGATAATGATCACAGTTATTGATAAATATCAGAGAAGTATCATTAAGCAAATGTGCTAGAAAGTCCTGAAAGAAATCAACATATTTCACACCAGAGTGACACATTTATGCATGGAATACTTTGTGGACATGAGATATAATAAAAACAGCTGCTTTCCATCTTCAACAATTGACATGATTGACAATAACAAGTCTGTTTTGGGAAAATCTAAACTTTATTTCATTGCAATAGTTTATGTAAGTTATTATCGCTGACAACAATTTCATATGGATAATCGATAATATTTCTTCCCATCAACGATAATTCCGATTATCAATCTTTTTAGCCAGCCCTACACTTGACACAGAATTTGATGATAAGCACTTTCTAAATCTAGCGTTCAATTTCATTGTTTATTGTGAGTTCTCTTATGTTTGTCATTGATTTTGCACATGTGGAGTGAACCTGACATGAAAATAAACTTTAATATATGAACATAAAAATTTGTCACTCTCTCCTGCGAGCAAGAGACACTTGCATTTTTTTTCATTAATATCATGATTTACACACTGTAATCAAGTCTACATATTGCCATGCACCTCTGCATCGGTTGTCTCATGCCAAGCCCAAGACTATTTTTCTCTCTCGGCAATTGACTTAGTGTACCTAGGAAAATTTATATTTGCAATCAATTTTATCCCAATACTTGCACTTAAACCAGTTATACAAGTTAAACAAGCAGGCTGATAGATAACCTCTTGTTAGCTGGGATGGATTTTAATCACAAATGACACAAACTAGTTATTTAAATAATTACTGATATATGAAGCTAGTGTATCGTGATGTCATTATTTTTTAAGGTCAGCTTTTGAAACAAAACTTACTACCGTATTCGACATAATAAGCGCCCAGGGCACTCTCAAAATTAGAAATAGGGGGCTCTTTTTAAAGTACTCATGGAAATGAAAAAAAACTGTTTTTTCGACCTCAGATCTTAAATTATTGCAGTTAATATACAAAATATGTAAATATTCAAACAACTAAATTAGTACTAATTGGGCCGTGGCACAAATACAGCGTATCAAATGTTTTTATGCCTTTTTACACGTAAAAGTGTGTAAAAATGTGAATAAAACAGACTATTGTGAAACAGGGCATAACCAGGTGTAAGTAGATTAAGGTGACCTTTGACACCTTGACGACAGGTGAGAACAGGTATAGTCTGTTTCTGCTATGTCAATTTTGACTTAGTTTTATTTCTGAATGTTGAAAGTGCCGACAAATTACCTCCTGTAAAGTACATTTCGTATTGTTCACTGAGATCAAACTAGCAAATCCAGACTAGTACTTCATGGGTTGTTTTGTTATTTCGTATTTACAGCTACGTAACACTTTCTGTCGATTTTTAAATTGAGAAAAACAGGTTTTTTTCATTTCCGTGAGTACTTTAGAATATTAATTTGGTGGAAAAAACAGAGTTGAAAGAAAAAAATTGTGGTTTATGCTGACAGCCTGAAATGTTTATATATGACATATATTTTTCCAGAATTTAATTGCCCATAATTAAGGGTGCGTATCATACGCGAATAAATAAGTCTTGTGTACATTGATCAATCAGAAGGGCTGCTAATTGGGATTGCTCATATTTGCAATATATTAGCAAATATCGCCGTGGGCGCTTATTACGTCGAATATGGTATTACTTAAATCTCTGTCCAAATTGTTCCATCTAACAGGCAAATAACATACATTTATAAATCCTCTCAAACAAGTAAAATGCACCACTTCAAGTAAATATGAGCATAGGGTTCAAAGTTCAGGGAGAAAATAAACAATATCATCACAATTAACATCCTTATACTCCATTTTTCACAACTGTTCTCTCTGCAAACTCTGAATGAAGAAAATCCTACTTACAGCTGTCTGGAGTAGAGGCCTTCATCAATTTCATCTGTCGCTCCATTCTGCGCCATGTCAACCTACAATAAACACAATTAATAAGTAATCATGCCAATATTCAAACACAAAAGAATAGAATAAAGTTGGAATGACTGTGCTGTCTCTGGTCCACTAAAATATCTATCACAAGTATCAGCATTCCAGATGAAGCCGGATCCTGGTGTCCTTTAATTTGTTTTTCACAAAACTATGCCACCATTCCATTCTTTCCAGAATGGAGTAAAACAATACATGATCACAAAACATTCCTCTTTAATAGATTAGAACATAGATTCCTTTTAAAAGTTCTGGTTGTCATGTCATGTTCTATTTTGTTTGAGTTTGTATACACGAATACATGACACTTTATGGACTGCAACTTCTTTTATTCTCTGTCAAAGCCTAAAAGATTTGTTTTTTGGTTTGTTGTTTAACGCCGCACTCAGCAATATTCCAGCTATATGACAGTGGTCTGTAAATAATCGAGTCTGGACCAGACAATCCAGTGATTGACATGAGCATCGATCCACAAATTGGGATCAATAACATGCATCAACCAAGTCAGCGAGCCTGACCATCCGATCCTGTTAGTCGCCTTAAACGACAAGCATAGTCGCCTTTTACGGCAAGCATGGGTTGCTGAAGACCTATTCTACCCCGGAATCTTCACGGGTCTAAAGCATAAAAGAAGTTGCTATCCATAAAAAGTGTCATTTATTCATGTTCTTCCAACTTCTAAATGCCTATCAAAGACATCTATATGCACATTTCCACTCTAGTGCTCTTTATAATGTACAGAGATAGATGTTAATTCATATCACCTGGAGGTCATTGTTGTTTGTTAACCATGTAGAATCCAGTGTTAGAAATTGGCACTAGTCCTATAGTCCTTGCCAAACTGCCCAATAGTTCAGGTGTCACAAGGACTAGAGAAATTTGCCACTTTTCTGGGTTTCGCTATATGTCATCATTATAAGGACTAGTGGACTAAAAATGTAAGTTTCTACTGCTGGAATCTGTAAAGATTTTTGGGTTTTTTCGTTTTGTTTGATGTTTAATGCCGCACTTGGCAATATTCTAGCTATATGACGGCGGTCTGTAAATAATCGAGCCTGGACCAGAGAATCAAGGGATTGACATTATGACCATCGATCCACCCAATTGGGATACGATAACATGCATCAACCAAATCGCGATCCCATTACAACAAGCACAGTCGCCTTTTACAGCAAGACCTAGTCTACCCCGGATCTTCACGGGTTAAGTCAGAAAGGGGTGTAATGACAACATAGAGGTCATCGCCATTACAACGTGGAACCAACACCAGAGGACACTAGATGGCCTGCCCTGTTCAACCAATCACCAGAGGGGTGGCATCAATGTCTTCCAACCAAAGTCACCAAAGTATTTGGTGTTTCTTGGATGTCCAAGTCCTGAATGATAAGGTCATCACCAAAATGCTGGCAGTGCAGAATGTGGCCAACCATTGAAAACAACATAAGGATTGCCAACAGCGACTTCACACAATTGCGTCCCAGACACAGCATGAACAACCTGCGCTCTGGGCTAACAACTACAGATTTTGAACTGTTTTCTCTGTTGTACTTGGGACAGTTGAAGTATTACTTTAGACATGCAGAGCTCCAGATAAGCTTTAGGTGTTGTGGGTATTTTACCCATGCATTTTAAAATCATTGGGTATCAGTATTTCTATCCGGGTATTCAAATTTCTGTTACCCACTAGTTTTTACACAAGTGGGTATTTAAGTTAAATATTTAAAAACACTATTCATCTAGTCCCTGCAAACTGGTGTCGTGTGGGTCAGAGAGCTTTTTAAGGACTCAAAAATACCACGATACTTCCACAAGAAAGTGTGATGGCAAATGATCATGATGTAACTGTCATCGTGGAGTTTGGCAAAGTTGACAGAATGCCCATTTATAATTTCAAAATAAGTTGCTGATTCGCTAATCGAATACGCAGGGTTACTTCACAATATTAAGATGATACGCACAGGTTTTATTTTAGTAGTGTATCTGTAATGTTCGTTGCTCATTTGATACGCTTGGATATTATTTTACTGCGTATTTCCGCATTTCTGATGCGTATTTTACGCAGATACGCAGCTTATCTGGAGCTCTGGACCTGACTTTTCTCCACAATTATCCATGTTAAGTTTTTGTATAATTAACTGAGTAAAGGATTCATGACATGTTAATGACAATTTTTTATGGGGGGAAATTGTCCAGGTGGCAATTGTCCAGTGGTAATTGTCCTGCTCCTGGGACTCAGCTGGGTTACCTGAAATACAATTATGCTTTTTCTATTTGGCCTTGACAAGTGCACAAATGCAACCACAAATACATATCCCCATACAGTATATACAACTAGCAGGGACACGTTAGTAGGGATGTCACGATTCACTGATAGTACCAATGCATCGGTAGATAATTCTCACGATACGAGATTCATGTAAATTTATATCCATACGAAATTTTATTGAAATCGGTATCCATTTGTTTGCGTATCGGTTAATTATTTTTTAGAATCGAAATGTCATCATCATATTTTCTGAATTTGACACATACGAAAACTTGTTAGTGTCTGACATTTGTTTGAATAAACAGAATCAACCTTTTCTAAGTATTATTATTTTGCAAAATTTTCTACTGATAGTGATTAGAACACATAATTGTGAATGTGACATGTTATTAAAAAGCTTGCTTCTAAATTTATGCATAAAAGGTCCGTATAGCTGTATCGAGATACATATCGTATCTTGACCTCAAAATTGAGATATGTATCGTATTGAGAGGTACCTGTATCGTGACACCCCTAATTTCAACCTTGTCAACACTGAAGAAAATGTAATTCTGATTTAACTTACCCTGCTATTTGAAGCTACACCTGAGTTATTTGTGCAGTTTGCACCCGTATTGGACTCAGTTCTAGGTTTCTTGGCCGGTGGAGCGTCCGTATTACTGGACATCTGAAACACAACACGATAGGTCACTTACACTGAACATAGTGTTCAAATTTACTGCGCAACCAAGAGACTTTGCCTCACTTGTCATGCTTGCGAGATATGACGCAAGATATGCCACGAGACAAATCCTTCCATTGAGGAAGTGAGGCACGTACTTCATTTACATTGGATTCCAATACACTTGTTACAGTTTGTTTGTTTTTTGTTTAATGCCGCACTCAGCAATATTCCAGCTATATGATGGCCCAACCCTCGTACTGTAACGCTAAAGCTCTAGATGAAGCAAGTCCACAGGTTCAAGCTCTGAACCCCCAATCTTACGAGGGATTCAATTTAAATGGTGTTGTTTGTTTCTATCAAAATTCTATATTTTAAATATTTTTGTTGTTGGTGTTTTCTCGTTTAACAATATTCCAGCTATATGACGGCGGTCTGTCAAAAATCGAGTCTTGACCAGACAATCCAGTGATTGACATCATGAGCATCAATCCACGCAATTGGGATACGATGACATGCATCAACCAAGTCAGCGAGCCTGACCACCCGATCCTGTTAGTCGCCTCTTACGACAAGCATAGTTGCCTTTCACGGCAAGCATGGGTTGCTGAAGACCTATTCTATCCCGGATCTTCACAGGTCACACTTGTTAGAATATCACAGGTGAGCACTGTCCTTACAGCACATTTCAAACCAAGCTCATTCCCCATGTGTGAAAATTTGGTTAATTCTCAACAAAGGGTGCAAAGAAGGAGGTTACGTTGTAAGCATTACCGATTGCAGTACCAGACAAGTGAAATGGGCCAACATGGGTTAATTTTGTCTTCTCTGTCAATATGTTAAATAAAAATAATTAAATTATGGGGTTTGAAATATTTAGGGATGCAAAAGGTGGGGTGTGTGTGGATTCTACTCCACTTTATCAATAATCCAGATAGCAACATCGTGGCAGGGGACATCAGAAATGGGCTTGACACACAATACCTCTGTAGGGAATCGAGACTGGGACTTTGGCAGGATGAGGAAACGCTTTACCACTTCCCCCAGGAAGTATGTTTGTCATCAATTCCTACATCTTGGTGGGATGTTTGTTGAAGGAAAAAGGTTTCAACTGATAGACCAGTTGAATCTTTTTCACAAACGCTGAATATGAGAAACGTTCAGTATTATTGCCTCAAGCTTGAGTCACACTAGATTAAATGTGAACTTAAACCAGTGTAGAGAATCAATTGTGATTTTATTTACCAATAATTGCTCTCAATCAACTTTTTGCTATATACTAAATTACTAATCAGTTAATGAGTGAGTTTGATTTTACGCGGCTTTTAGCAATATTCCAGAAATGGGCTTCACACATCGTACCCGCCTTGGGAATCGAACCAGGGTCTTCGGTGTGAAGAGCGACTGCTTTAACCACTAGGCTATCTTGAGGACAAAGGACAAAATTTTCATCATCTATTTGTCAATGCTAAGAGCATTCTTTGAGTGATATGTTTAAACATGTTCAAGGGGTATCATTGTGTTAACAAAACATGTACCATAAGTAAACCTTTCAAGGAAAGTTCAAACATTATTTGAACTACCTGAATATTAAATTTGACTTGATGGATACCCAACATTATCAACCACAGCTGCCATAGACCCGGATTGCAGTGTATTGCTTAAAATTGGATCCTATTTTCTTGAATATAGTATTAGTTCAGTAGGGTTTTGACTTGTCCCCAAACTATCAAAAGTTTTTTAAGTGTGTTGAAGCTTCTAACACAGAAGAAATGTTACATAAACACAGAGCTCCAGATAAGCTTTTGGTGTTGTGGGTATTCTACCCATGCATTTTAAAATCATCGGGTATCAGTAATTCTATCTGGGTATTCAAATTTCCCAAATTTCTGTTACCCTCTAGTTTTTCACATGTGGGTATTTAAGTGAAATATTTAAAAACACTATTCACCTAGTCCCTGCAAACTGGTGTCGTGTGGGTTCCAGAGCTTTATAAGGACTCAAAAATACCACGATACTTCCACAAGAAAGTGTGATGGCAAATGATCATGATGTAACTGTCATCGAGGAGTTTGGCAAGGTTGAAGGAATGTCCTTTTATAATTCCAAAATAAGTTGCTCATTTGCTAATCGAATACGCCGGGTTACTTCACAATATTTTGATGATACGCACAAGTTTTATTTTTGTAGCGATTCTGTAATGTTTGTTGCGTATTTGATACGCTTGGATTTTATTTTACTGCATATTACTGCATTTTTTATGCGTATTTTACTCAGATACGCAGCTTATCTGGAGCTCTGATAAACAACAAGATCTATGGATTTACTTCAAGGTGTCTTGCCCAGGGCCCACTTGCACAAAGCGATCTTAGTGCTACGACTATTGTAAGCCTATGTTAAAGTATGGTAGTTACGATCATCTTAGTGCTAAGATCCCTTTGTGCATGTGGGCCCTGGTCATATTATCTTATAGTTGTAGTCATTCAAAAATGCTTCAGCTTTATAGGTCTTCTAACGATTCAGAATGCCGTAATGAATGGATGTATTGACAGACAAACTCAGTTCAGGGGAGCTGAAATCTGTCAACAAGCTTTCACAACAAATTAAGTCATGAAGTAAACGTAACAAATACAACAGAATGAAAATGTTCGAACATGTCTGTAGGCATTAACACCATCTAACCTTGGTGTCCTAAATCTGGGCCCCTATTTCTGGCAAATAGTGATTTGTCAGCCAGCACAAAAGATTATGTATGATCTCATAAAAAAATTCAGAATAATATTCTAGGTAGTAAAAACGACCATTGTGGTTTTATATTGTAATGAAAAGGATTTATCTTGTTAAAACCTACCACTGTTACCAATCTATACCTGTGCTTATGTCAATTCCTGCGGACAACTACCTTGCTGTCCACTTTTGTATCTAGGCCTAACTCAAAACACATATAGACACCAGCAATATTTGTAACGATTGGACTGGTGAATGACAGTTCCTAACCAAGTGGCGTCGCTAAATTTAGACCTACCTGTACCAGACACACGTATATATATGCCACCAATGTTGCATTGGCTGCAAAAATAGATCAGAGACATACGTATTGCTAAACAAACTCAACAATAAACCTGACGAAACTCTACAATAAAGCGATCGAAGCAATATCTGAAGTTCTAGAACATTGCATGACAAAGCACCACAAAGAGACCGCCGTCATCCGACCGCTTTACTTCAAGCTATGCGGTCCCTTTACACATGCATGCGTTACTATATGTACACACAACGTCAAAATATCCCCAAATGACTTAAAAACCTGAAATTTGCCGGAGAGATGTAATGATTTCCTCTTGATTTGGGGGTAAGACCCAACAAATATGGCGGCCTATTTCGACACGTGCGGCCGATGGGAGTGATGCATAATGTTGAGATTTGTTTGGACTGCATTTTATTTTTAAATTGATCACAGAATACATAAGTCGATTCAAATAAATGATATCCTTATTATGCAATGGCACAAATTACATATGTCACCCTTGTTTTTTCTATTTTTATCATACCGTTCCGTTTCAGTCACGGCGCCTGCGCATTGGATACACTGAATTCTCCCAACTTACCAAATGACATGAAGCTTGATCGCCGACCGACTCTCAACCAAAATTTTATGGACAGGATAGAAACGCCCGTTTTCTGTCAGACCTCAGAATGAAAATCCAATCACAACATAAATATCTACAATTTCAAAGATTGAAATTGCAGATAACAAATTTGTATAAAATTCGACAGCCGGTGATTCCCGAGAATAAAATCCAACAAACACTTCCTGTTTTCAATGCTCGACTGTGACGAAGATGAGAAAGAATTATGGGAACGCTGATGAAAGGTGTATATATAGCCCGTGATGTCATAACATTTACCGAGAAACTCGATTGCTACAGGTGTAAATGACACGTGTAAGGTTCACGTGAACAGTTACCTACTCAAATAGGCTAGTATACAGCGGGCAACCATGGCAACATCGCCTACATTTTCGCTAATGGTTGCGAAGCGACACCGTCGTAAAGGGATTACGATATTGTCTAGACGACTGCAAGAATTATACATGTACGTGACCATTTATTTTGAACACTGACGGAAGCGTTATATAGCAGATAAATAAATATGAATTTTCTGAAATCTTTATTTTTAGTTAAATACCTGGGGATTTCTTTGATATAGATATGAAAGGCATTAGACATTAGAAGAAAACTTTATAACCATGCGTCAGCACTGCGCCAAAATATTCTTTTTTAAATATAAAGAAACACCTTCTGTTCTAAAGCAGAAATATTGTTTTAAAAATGCGCGAAAACTGTAGCAATCAAGTGCACCCGTATGCTCTGTCACGTTACTACGCAAGACCGGTGTTATCGCCGAGTCCTGCCGATCTACGAATCGAGTGCAACCATACAAAATGTCTCCATTTCATTATTGTCGCGAAATGTAAGCCTGTAAACAAACGTGATGTTTATAAATAAATAGACTCCATGTAAATACAACATATTTCACAAGATGTGAAAACAGGCTTTGAATATATTAACAATACACATAATTTTCATTCACTTACCCATAACATGCATAAGCATCAATTTGTCGATGGGCATATTGTTCGATATTACAGTCTTTCCTCGTGAATAGTCGCTATATGGCTGAAAAAATGCTGATGCGACCTTAAATTCTAACTCACTAAATTTTAACTCACCCTCGTGAATAACAAAATCTATTGACCTTCCTGTGACGAGTTGTATGTATGACGTTAACTAGTTTCGACGTCTTTTTGACGTCTACATTTTGACGTCTTTGAGGAAGTGAAGACACGCACATATATACTGTCATTAAATTTCATCGTTGTTATTTTTCAACCAATGAAACAAGCTTTAAAATACTAGTATCACTGGTTGCAGTATCGGAGTTTGTTTCTGGGTCGAAACTTAGATACAGCTTTCAAGATATCTTCATGCATATATACACATGCACAAAAGTTAAGCGCCCACCATTTTTGTGAGCTGTTACTTTTGACACTTAATGATGACTATTATAACGAGATGTACGATTGTTATAAGCCGTATATGTAAACCTCATGTGATGCAAAGGTTGTCCCAAAGCAAGTTTATCTTGTGTTCCAAAAGAATATGAGCATTTTACCGAATTTTACCGAAGACCAGAAATTGAAGGATTAGAAAACATTGAAAAACCTTTTTTGTCATGTAACTGTCATGATATCAGCAGACCATATCAGGTGTCACATAGACACCCTAGGGGGTGCGGAGTCTATTGCAAGATAGAAACGTCAGTAACGTGTGTATGATCCACGGACATTGACCACAGCTTCAACCCTACGCCTCATACTCATTACAAGTCGTTGAATGCTTCTCTGAGGCAAACGGATCCATTCTTCATGAAGTGCGGCTTCAAGTCCAGCGAGATTTTGAACCGGGGCATCACGATGTCTGATTTTCCGGCCAAGAATGTCCCAGAGATGCTCAATCGGATTAAGATCCGGACTACAGGCCGGCCAAGGAAGAGTGGTAAAAGCTTCTTGACGCAAATAAGCCAAAACTGCCCTAGATCTGTGTGGTCTAGCATTGTCGTCCATGTAAACAGGTCTTGTCTGAAGAGGATGGTTGTCAAAATGAGGGACTACCACTGGACGAAGAACGGCATCTTGGTATTGTTGGCCATTCAGGTTTCCACGAATTGTCACCAGTGGAAGTTTGCAGCCGAAGGAAACACAACCCCACATCATGACAGATCCCCCGCCACATGCTGAGGTCTTTTGGATGTTCCTTGGTGCAAAACGAGTGTTACGTTGCCTCCAAACACGTATTCGACCATCAACAGTTCGTAGCAGCATTCGACACTCGTCAGACCAATGGATCCTTCTCCAGTTGGCCAAGTTCCATCGACTACGGGCACGACACCATATCAGACGATTCCGCATGTGCCTCTCAGTCAGTTGAGGACGTTTTACTGGTCTTCTGGCGTTATAACCAGCCGCTCTGAGGCGACGCCTTACGGTCATCGTCGAGAGTCTCTGATGGGTAATCCACAATCTGTTGAAGTGGCAAATATATTTCGTCTGACTATCCTGAAAAGACGTCTATCCTCTCTGTTAGAGGTCTTTCTTGGCCTACCAGACCTATGCCTGTCATTGAGATCATTGGTTTGACCATGTTTGACAATCAAACGAGTGATAACACTGTGATGACGACTCATTTATCTTGTAAATGACATCATGACATGACAGCATTTTTCATGCCTATCACTTGCCATCTTTCAGCGTTCGTTAACTTTCTCCTCACCATGGCTGATTTTCAACCACTATTGGAAGGGGAATCGCACACAGGAGCAAAATGCAACCACGTGTCTGAAACTTGAATTTCACTATTTATAGGGTAGGGAAACTGCAGCAACACGTAAAGCACGCTTTCCTTGTGGTATCTAGACAAATTTGGGTTCATGAAACTATGGAAGCCTAATTCAGTCATAGATCATCATATTTCGTATTTCTGATTCCCACACGTGAAATCAAGAGGCTATGAATATGGTGGCGCTTAACTATTGTGCATGTGTATATAAACCATGTGTTCAAAGATGTCATTTGAGATTTAAAAAATGATACATTTTTATTATTTCCCTAAAAACAAAATAATTATGATGATGGGAAATTAAACAAGACTACTAAAAAAAATAATTATATCTCGAAAATTAGTATACTATGTAATTATATTAAACTTTCTCTTCCGTTGGGTTTCAGTGTGTCGGGTGAATACTGGCTATAACTACCCGTGACGATCTGGGTAAAATAGGTCTTCAGCAACCCATGTTTGTCGTAAAAGGCGTCTATACTTGTCCTAAAAGGCGACTAACGGGATCGGGTGGTCAGGCTCGCTGACTTGGATGATGCATGTCATCGATCCCAATTGCGTGGATAGATCTCGTGATATCAATCACTGGATTGTCTGGGCCAGACTCGATTATTTACAGACCGCCGTCATATAGCTTGAATATTGCTGAGTGCGGCGTAAAACAACAAACAATAGTATACTGTCCATAGACGACAGGTTATTCAGTTATTCAGTTTAATTATATTCAGTACATATAATTAACTTTCCCGTTATTTTGTCGGATGTAAAGAGAGGAAGACCATGTCTACGTACACAATGTTGTTTCATTCGACAGAATTGTATTGATTGCAGGGCAAGGTCTTGTTGAAATTTGCCTGGCGTGGATATAACAAAGGTTATTTTGACCTCACATGTACATACGGAAATGCAATAGGGCCTAGTGTGAGGGAGGTGTAGACGGAAGACAGATGTGATTTAGTTTGAAGGCAGAGCCTATTGCAATGAGCTTATACTTCGCGGAAAACATATATACATACATGCGAGAGTCCCTTTTCGATGAAGGAAGAAAGCGTTTGACCTTTTATATATGGAATATATTTCATTTAACTTACTTCAATCTTCAACACGGATATGGTTTGTAGAACACACGGAACACGAATGAACATGTCGACGGGCATAAAGCTAAGTGAATAGTTTATCAGTAACCTAGTACTTCACAACAACTTAAACATGTCCCCGTTTTCAAAGTAATACGACCGTCGACCTCCGACATGCAGTCTCATAACTCTTCGAAAGCCTTGTGATTTAGGAAACGTACCTCGTTTCACAAGCAGAGTTTGTGGTTAAAATACGGCTGTCGTAAATCGGTATATTTTAGGTTGGTAGGTCGACAAAATAAAAATTCCAATTTAAAACATTTCAAGTTTTTAAACAATTTTGGTTTGGCCTCACAGCTCAATTATTGACCTACATCAGAGTCAAGTATATTCTACACGTTTACATGCAAGATATTTCGTGTCGGCCTGTTTCCAAAGTGCTGCTTGGCAAAATATCGTGTACGACTATGTTATGTTTGTTTGTTTGTTTGTTGTTTAACGCCGCACTCAGCAATATTCCAGCTATATGACTGCGGTCTGTCAATAATCGAGTCTGGACCAGACAATCCATTGATTGACATCACGAGCATCGATCAACGCAATTGGGATACGATGACGTGCATCAGCCAAGTCAGCACGACTATGTTAGGGTGTATAACGTATACGACACTCCCTGCCTATAGGAGAATAGACTCAGGCTAAATGTCAATCCTTTGGCAACAAAAACAAAATGTAAATCTTAAAAATTAACTTACCGTGGCCTTATATTTTATATCACAGACTACAATGAGTTTACATTTGTAGTATTTCTGTACAGAATTAAACACTATATTCAAGGAGCTCCCCAACAAAACATCTGAAAATAAATTAAAAAACCAAGGATACACAGACGCGTAAACACCACCATCTAGACCTGCTTCAATGCTGTACTGAAAGATAAGTCCATGGATGTGTAGTAATTCTATCCTCCTAATAGGCAAGTCTAGATATGTGGACAGTACAAAGGACTCAAGTCTCGTATAGGGACAACTTGTTCTTATCATTTACATAATCTAGAAAATTATGATTTAAACGAATACTTATTGCCTAAGAGACTTTGCAAGTCTAACCACCATGCATGGCATCAAACGCACGGCCGGATGGATAGAGACGGGCTGACGGGGCATCAATGATTCACGTGCTGACGGCGGCAGAGTCCCACACATACAAGGGCTAACGCAATCTGTTTATACCTCGTCAGTGCAGTCTCGTATTCATAGACTAATTTATATGCTGATCGAAACAATGTGAAGAAGGTTAAAACACATGTGTAGATGTTCCGTTTGTATATGTTGGTTTAAAACAAAGCTTTTTACGTCAGCGGGGATAGAT